GTATATTTGTCTAGAAAAAATCAGCAGCGTTGAGCGCTTGTTTTGGCCACGCAGACGTCATTTCACCAAAAACACTGCTTTTACTACTGCGATCACACCTTTATTTCGTTTGTAGCTCCACAGCCTCAAGATCAGTCCCACAAAAAACCCAGAAACTTTGGCACAGAAACATCATCATGTAAACAATGCAGCTGCTTCATATCAAATGTTTGCGCGCGAGAGAAGCTGAGTTTTGAGGCTTGAAATCGTTTGAAATCATTTCAAGCCTCAAAACTCAGCTTCTCTCGCGCGCAAACATTTGATATGAAGCAGCTGCATTGTTTACATGATGATGTTTCTGTGCCAAAGTTTCTGGGTTTTTTGTGGGACTGATCTTGAGGCTGTGGAGCTACAAACGAAATAAAGGTGTGATCGCAGTAGTAAAAACATGTTTTTGGTGAAATGACGTCTGCGTGGCCAAAACAAGCGCTCAACGCTGCTGATTTTTTCTAGACAAATATACAGTCTTGTGAACTTCTACATACTATATGCTTACTTCATTGTACAACTTCAGAAGTTGAGTTTTGAGGCTCGAAATCGTGCTAATTCTGTGGTAAGGTTGGAACTTGGTTGAAAAATGGCACGAAAACGCAAAGATTTTCTAAGCGTCAAACAAGATACCCATCGAAAGAGCTTATTTTATCTCATAGCTTTGGTAGAAGCTAATTAGAGCGCGTAAACCGCAGGAGAACGGATGTTTTTGGAGCGCAATCACTCCAGAAGCATTTAGAGCCTTCTGAAAAAAGTAACGGTCCTCTTTTTGAACTGCAGTGGGTTCAGTGTGTAGCGGACACGTCAGACTTTGTTACTGTAGCTTTACAAAAAATTTGGACTCAAATGACTGCAATCTTGAACAAAAAATGGATTTTTGGCTGAGGTGTTCGTATAATTATGAACCGCTAAAACTAGGCGCAAAAATAGTCCCGAAATTGACATCCATTTTCATTCTTATGGATCATATACCGTTTTCGGTTGTGCTCTTTGGCGTGGTACCAACGGCTTTTTGAGTTTCTGTCAAAAAGTCCACAAATTTCTAAAATTTGGGGTGTTCGTATAATTATGAACCGCACTTCATTTTCGCAAGAAACTATGATATTTAAAAACCTGGCCATAATAGATTCTACCGATCAAATTGCTTACTGACATGAGATATTTCTCGGCTCCATAGAAGACGCAATATACGATGTCATTCATCCTTTCTGCACTTTATCGATACGTGTCAAACTGATGTGGGCATGAATATCCCGTGAATTTTATGTTTTTCTTCAGATCGTGACGCTCTTGTGCTTGCTATTCATAACTATTCAGCTGACGGGGCATTCATAACATAAATGAATAAGCCATAAACACTGTAAGGCCGCCATTTTCTAGCATATGTGCCCTAATAACGTTGAAGACAATAGGGCATCTTGTAAGATCCAAGCAGTGCTTTTCTCACACAGAGTTGAGAACTAAGATATGTAGAAATCTTCTTCTTCAACACCAACGATGAAAAGGTTTCGGAACCAAATATTTTCAGTTTTTTGCATGTTAACTTAGTAAACCGCACTAATCCCGCGCTTATGAGCCGAGAGAACAGGTGATTTCAGTCACTTAATAACTTACCAATATCTTTTGGTCACTTCAAACTGCACATCTCAGAAAGGGAGACTTTCGGATTTAATGGAGGTTTGCAGTTTCCTAATTCATGTTAAACACAACATCTCAGCTAGCGCCAAAACGAAACATTTTGATATTTCAAAAATGAGCTGCTAATGGAGGCAGCTTGACATACCAATAATTCTGGTCTTTGAGCTCAAAGAAAATAAAAAATTTTCTATCTATTAGGTCGTTCCAAAAGTAATGTCGCTTTTTTCGAATGAACGCCACTATTCGTAGAATCAACATTTTCAAGAGATCTTAGAAGCATTCGATGCAGCATTTCATCCTCTTTCTAATGGTTCTAATTTCACTGCATTATGTTCAATGAGCTCTCGAAAAATTACCAAAACCTGCGACTCATGCTTTTGCCATAGTCAAGTTCGGCTATTTTTCTAAATTTTTGTACCTATTCTCCGAAGAAGTACAAGTGGCTGGTAAATAGAGCAAACCCTATAAGACACAGGGCTATTTTTTCTTTTCCTTAGCTTGCTTCTTAGAGTTTCTGGAATCAATTTTTCAATGCCATCAAATTCCATATTTGGTCAACTCAAATCTCAAAGAACAACAACCAGCAATCAACTCGGGTGTCATTCAAATCAGCTTTTCCTCTTCTTTCTACCTGTTGTTTTACTCCGATTCATCAAGTTTTCCTGGATAAAATCGTCATGATGCAAGTTTTCCAGGGTGCCCCAGGCTGTAACTGCAATTTTCGAAAGTTGCTAATCTGAAGCGATAAACGCTCATTTGCTTTGTAAAATTAGTGTAAAACCATAATCCATTTTTGTAAGTTTCAAAATCCGGAGACTTGTTGGCGTTTGATGCACTTGTGTCTGAGACGAGCCTGCTAAAATTCGGTGGTTCCATCAAAAAATCTGTACAAAAATTATGACGAGCTCTGGAAAGCAGAAAAAAGTTGTGTTGTTTCCTGTAGGGTTTGCTGCCCAGTGCAACCTAATTTTCTTGTTCTCAAACTTTTGTACAAAAATGTTATCAAAGTCTTCGAATTTCTCAGAGAGGACCAGATCAAAATGTACGCAAATTAAAAATTTGGCATTGTCTTTGCAATAAAGTGGACGCCAATAATCTGGGAACACATTATCACGTGCCCAATGTAAAATTGGCATAACTATGCTTTTATACCAGTGACGGTCCCAGGATCCGAGGGGGGGGGGGCAAAATTTATTCAGATGAAGCTTCGAAAAGATTTTAGGGATGCTTCCCAAAATCTTCGCGGGTCCCCAAACCCCAAAATCTGGAAAAAGGGGACAATTTTTTTTCGGGGTGTGGCGTCAGCCACACCCCGAAAAAATTTTTTTGTAAGGCTAATTTGAATTTTTAAAAATTTTAAAAACTATTTTGATTGTTCACAAAAATAAACAAGTCACTTAGACACTTTTATAACCCACGTAAGTAAATTTCAAAAACCCCGCCCCTCCCCCTCGGTCCGCCACTGGATGATTCTACATAAAGCCGTTTTTGCATACGCTATACGATACGTTGTCCATAATGAGATGGACAGCTGAACTAGCAAACGACTACATTGGTACGGTAAGAACCACGACATTGCGGCTCATTACGCTTTTCCTCCTCAGTCCAAAAGGGATGTATCAGAAACTCCAGCATTTCTTGATACAGAAAACGAGTGCCAGCTTCAACGACAAATAAACTGAGTAATAGTCTGCCACCAGCGTCTGACCGAGAAGCTGGAAACTGTTTGAAAAATCCTGAATTAGCAGACACTTTTATTGCTTATTTCCTCTTTCTCACACTTCCTCACACTCCTAATTCTAGAAAAATCTCAAGCTTCTCGATTCTCCATAACTGCTCCATATGTAAAGTACCACAAATGAAAACTAGCCAGCATTGCAACAGTTTTGAAGATACACCCAAACTCTTCCTTTTCCAAGGATTCTTTTATGCGTTCCAATTCGCTTTCTCTCCTGGTGTTTGTTTGATATGTATTTTAACGTCTCTTGTCGTTACTATTTTAAAACAGTGCTCTACCAGAAATCCTCCAAATACACTATAGATAGTGGCAAGATCGCAAAAAGATTTTTCAGGTTGTAGAAACTACCCGAACCTGGCGGCGACGACCTTACCGAAAACCTGGTCTTGATGAATTATTCGTTTTGCTTGGCAACTTTAAAATGCTTCATATTCCTGGCACATATTCCACGCCAAAGTGATATCAATGTATGCAAAAAAATGTCAAGTAGCAATGGAAACAATCAAACACTGTCAACTTACACCTATTCCGGCTTTTTGCTCATACATTCTAGAACGTTTCTTTTATTCAGTGCATGCAAATAACAAAAACATAAAGCTTAACGTAACAAAGTAAACAGATAATTCATATCAGCTGAGCTAGGTAACGAGATTCTGCGATCATAAAACAAAAAGCTGAAAAAGTCGAAATCATGCAATATACAGAAGGCACAACAAAACCGGCAATTATGCAGTAACGATCCATGAAACGAGCCTACCGCAACATGATATGAAGGTAAAATTATTTCATTTTGCTATGTGCATCTAGTAATGCAAAATCTTTTTCCTCCCACTGTCTATAGAGCATTCGGAAAATCGTGACGATGGCGGGACTGCGCGCGACACGCGCGCACCTTCCGACAAATACATTTTCTTGGTATTAACCTCTACTCGACTAGTTTTCCTGTTTAGGTATGATAGTACTTGGAAACTGGAAATGATTGAGCTGAGCTCTGAAGTGATTCCTTGTATAAGAGTGTTATGCTCCTGTAGGCCAAAGACCGCAATCAAATGCGTCGTCACGATTTTATAAATGAATCTTACAATATTATAATTTCTGCCAGAAAACGCATTGGTTATCTGAGTGAGATCACCGTGGCGTGACCATCTCGCTTCAATCTGAATCTAAGGAAACCATTGGAATGGGCTCGAGGCGCATCTTCTGATACGTAGAGATGTATGTTTGGTCGGTGGGCGCACGGTGGCAGACAGAATGAAGTCCTCTTGGATTTTACTTACAGGAGATTACTCAAGCTAGTTAACCACTGCACACTGATTAGTCTACCTTAAGCAAAAACTGTACACATTCTTGAAGCTTAGCTACCTACCTGCGCAACCGGGATCAAACAAGCCCCTCTATACATCAGAAGATGCGCCTCGTCCAGCTGAAGGGATCGTCCTCTTTGAAGCGAGATATGACCCCTACTACGGTGATATCACCTAACTCAGGTGACCGCGTTTATTTTGCAAAAAAATTATGAACGGTATTGTAGTAATAACAAGTCTTCGCCGCCTTGAAGCTAGGAGAAAACGATGTTTAATTCGCAATTTAATTCGTAACGCAAGTTTTCAAAGCTGCATACGAAAAGCTGAATTTCATGGATCTTCACTGCAGTCTGTACACATAGAAGAGTGATATAACTACTGTAAATATAGGCTCGCTCTGAATTTCTTGATGTACAGATATAATCACATTATCTTGCTGGACTTCTTCAAAATTAGCGATAATGCAAGCTCCTTCTGATTGCTAGTATTAGCAGCGATGAAGTATTGCCGCAACATCTAGATAAATAAGTACTGCACCTCACATCAAATACATGTCAATTTTCAGCCCGATTGATATTTCTCTAGGATGAGCATGAGCAATCAAGCTTCTCATTAGAAAAGTATAAGAACAGAAAAAATCGCTGAATCGTTAATATTCACTTGAGTTTAGTCTCCAGCACATACCCACAACTTACCATCGGAGCGTTCTCATAAATCTCTCGCATAGGGATATACTGCGCAAACTCTTCTCCATCTGGTTGGACAAATACCACGATGCCAACAGTCTCCGCAGTCACAGGATGTTCTGTGACTACGCTCACTTTCACTGCCTAAAAACAACATTTAAGTCACTGTCAAACCCTCTTCATGATATTTTTGAAGCTATATGTTATGGGAAAGCTGGCCAAAGTTCTAGAGGAATTTCCCAGCAGTCGCAGGTTACACCGACTTGAAGGACTGAAGAAACATCAATGGCAGAAGATGTGCGTCAGAAACGCAATCCATACATGAATGGAAATGAACACAACTGCAGCATGTCATACTCGCAGAGGCACAGTTTTACTGAGATCATGACTGCGTTGAAAAGATACCCCAAGGTGAAAAATTTGTTGTGCAACTTTACCACTGTGATGGTATGCCTAAGTTTGAATGCCAAAAAGTGAGACGTCGACAATAAAGCAAGGAAAGATGTTGTCAGTAAATCTCAAGATGGCAGTAATGGCAGAATTGCGCCGTACAACTGACTAAGTGTAAGGGACACACACGCAAAAGATATCAGGTAGCGGGCCAGAGAAAACACTGATCAGAGTTTCTATGTCAAAACGATACCACTTTTGGAATTTTGGAAAACAACCGATACGGCGATATCACAGCAACAGTACGGATTTCTAAGTGCACACATTGGAGGCACCGCTGAAGCAACGCGCTTCGAATAAATGATTTTTCATTTCCAATACTCTAGAGCGGAAGGTTGCATGGTGTGTGATGCTATTTAGAGCTCATGGAACTTCCCCAAAGCGCTTTTCGTAGAACATGTAGGCCATTTAAACTACCAGTTTAGTGGTGTGATCAAAGGAACTTGCACTCTAACCAGTCATTCCTTAGCAGAAGGTGAAAAGAGTGAGATCTTGGATGAAAAAGGGGCGGGGGTAAGATGTCCACATTCTACAAGAGATGGAAATCAAGCTGTAGGATGAGCCCGCAAGTAAGCAGGGTAATTTTTATTGCGACTGGTCGTATAAACCTTTGCAAAAATCTAGCACCTCCCTCTACATTAATGAACATTTTAATTTTGATTGAAGAATTGATTGCAATCTAAGCGATCACCCCTCCTCCATTATGAAAACCGCAAGTTCTATGAAACAGCAAGTTCTCTACCTTGTAACCTTTCTTGAATCCGTCGGATTCTCTTCTGACATATCTGAAACCACCGTCGGAGTCGTCATCCTGAACATTGATACATTCGTACTGGCAACAACATTGGAGTGGAGCCAGCTATTGTCAAGGTCAGAAGTCCAAAAAAATCCTGAGTTAAATACAAATATCTGCGAAAGAAGTGCTAAGCTATATCTATTACAATAACTCATGGATGGAATACCATCATCAGAAAAAGTACGGAGACCGTGTCTGATCTGGCCAAAAATTTGATCAGATGCAGTTAAGATTTTGAAAAGGTCCATATACAAAAGAAGCAATCAAGAGAAAGCTGTTTTTTTTTTGCACAGGACTGATCAGAACATCTTTGTGGTTTGAAAGTTTGGCTAGCATGACAGAAGAATTCTCGTATTTTCAAGATCTATGGAGTTATGAACATTTTTCTAGAAAGTCGAAACATCCCCACCCCCTTTAATCCTTGAAAAACTAATGCTACCGTCGCTAGAAAGAGCTCTATCCATACCTAACATATGTAAGGTAGGAGTAAATTCAACAATTTCTTATACTGAAGTATGCATCTCATATGAAACTTCCACTAATACACTCAGTCGTGAGTAAAGCACACATATCATGCCATGTTTTGGCTCTTATAGATGTTTTTGACTATTTTATACGTCCCCAATTATACTAGACTACATTTGTTTTTGTGGAATTGAGGAGAATACGAACAAGTATACTAGTCAAACTTACGCCTGTCATAGGTTCGACATTGCTCATTTCAGGTTCCATGTGATCTGAAATGACAATCAATCACTAGTGTACTTGCACAGGGAAGATCAAGGCACATTTGTATAGAACTTCTACTGGAAACGTTCACTACTGAAACACCAATGTCACTGCATCTTTTTAAGGACTTTGAGGAAGGAGGATACGCGTCTTTTTCTCGAAAAAAAAATGACTACTTCCTTGGGACAATTTTGATTCAAAAAGTTGCTAGAATTTGATCCTTTCTAGCATGATTTATATGGAATGATTGTTAGCTTTGATAAGAGGTTAAAAGTGATACCACTGCTGGACATTGTCAGGTTGCTGTTCTCATAGACAAAAAGGAGAGCGATTTTTATAAGCACTCAAATTTTTTTTTTGTTATTTCACTTCCGTCCTCGAAAGGATAGGGCAAGTCTGCAAAAGGTCCTTTCCAAGGCAGGAAAATTGTCTCAGAAAGTTGGCGTGGATCTGTCTGCTCCACCCAACAAAATGGATGGTATATAGGGATGAGCTATACTGCGCCATATTACCTAAAAATGTCAAAATTGGTCTTTAACCAAAATAAGACAACTTTAGCTTGCTGATTCGCATTTTCGCTCGACCTGAACTTCCCATCTATTCACGGAAATGATGGACGGAGTCTCGATGCGAAATTGCCTTTTGCAGAAATTATTTATTGCTTAGTGCCCAGCAATGGCGGTCCCAGAATTACCGTTCAAGAGGAGAGGGGGCGACAAAATTTCTTCCGAATGATGGTGCGTGGACACCCCCCCCCCTCCGAACAAAATTTTTGCAGGGGCAATTTGAATTCTTGGAAATTTCGAAAATTATTTAGATTATTCGCAAGCATGAACAAGTCACTTGCACAATCTTATACTCACCTTAAGATATAGCTAAGCCGTGGGGTCACAAGAAATCTCAAACTCTTTCCAACTTTCTCTCTTCTTTTGAAGCTTTTTCCGAAAGCACTCACTTTGCACAGATGAAGACGAAAAACACAACAAAATGGTGATTTGTGTGCGCTTCCGCACTGAACACTCAATGAAGTTTAGATAAATTACGGTGTGCAGCAAAAGCGGAGATTTTGTGCTGTGTTGCCTGTTCACAGACGGACTTCATGCAGAACCCCTACAGTCGCAGTGGCTGATCTTGCAAAAGTTATCAACATTCGTCCCCAAACAACAAAAAAATTAAGTAAAGTGAAAAAAAGAGAAAATTCAATCACTGATGATGACAGTGTATGCTTGTGTTCAATAGCAATCACAAGCTCCATCGACGTGGCAAATGGACGAAATCAAAAATAGTCATAAATAAACATTGACATTTAGCAGCGCTTCACGCAAAACAATGTTATATTACGCTAGCAAATTCCCGAAAAGGTTGGCGAATGTAAAACGCAAAAAATATGATAGTTAACGGATCCCCAAATGCCTGAAAAACTAGTCAAAACATACCTGGTTCTTCCTTCTTGACTATAACAGTTGAGTCATACTGATTTCCAGATTGCGCCTGGATCTCGGTGGCATACATGTATTTTTCTTTCTCCTTGTTGATGTTCGAGCACGCTGGCTCTAACCGATTCACAGCGGCAAAGTTCACCTTGTCCTTCCGCTTTTGCCTGTTCTCTGATGTCTCCTTCTTCCTAATGTGAGCCTGTTCAGCTTTTCGACTAATACTCTCCTTCGTTGTAGTTACTTCAGATGACTCCTTCTTCCTAATGTGAGCCTGTTCAGCCTTTCGACTAGTACTCTGCTTCGTTGTAGTTATTTCAGATGACTCCTTCCTACTATGGACTAGCTCCGCCTTTCGACTGGTAATCTCCTTCGCTGCAGTTACTTCGGATACTTCCTTTTTCCTACTATGAAGTGACTCCTCCTTTCGATTAGTATTTTCTTTTGCTGAGGTTACTTCAGATAACTCTTTTTTCTTACTGTGAATTGGCTCTGCCTTTCGGCTTGTAATCTCCTTCGTTGCGGATACTTCTTCATCTTCACTCGAAGAAGAAGAAATGATGATCCTTTTGTGACTTTTTCGGTGTGCATCAAACGAATGCTTCTTGGAAACATGCGCAGGAGAATCCCTCTTATAGTCCGTTTCTTTTTTGCGCTCTTCTGCCTCACTGGAAGACGGCAAGTCGTGCACTGCTGTTTCAGGTTTGTCTGGAATCGAACGAACACGGCAAATCAAAGCTTCACTACTTCACTGTTTTGACACAGACTACTAGGGTCATCAATACTCACTTGTGGCGGCTTTTCCAGATCCTTTGAAATAGCGCATCTGGAAGCAGTTTCTTGTAATTTAAGCAAAGAATTTTTTGCATGTAAGGGAAGGCATCAACTTAGGTCGTTTTCAAAAAACGGCGCATATATTCGAAATCAGCTTGAAACGCTGATTTCAAATATGCTGTCCGTAGCTGCAAAGCATTGCTCTGAAGCGAGTTATGAGCTTTTTAGTATGTGTCATTGACATATAACTATCTATGAAAAGAAGGCCAATGAAAATCTGGGCCCTTAGATGAAAATCTCTGTCCAAAAAGTGGTGGAAAATGGTAGAAAATCGAGATAACATCAAAGGAAAGCAAATCGAAATCAACTTTCAAGCTGATTTCAATATATGTGTCGCTTCTTACAATTAGAAGGCCGACCTAAGTTAGGCGCCTTTTCCCGTAAGTAAGCTAGTCTCGATATTCTAACCTGGCAATGTTCATTGTCCGATGAACTTTCGCTTGAGCACATGTCCACAACTTCGCAAAACTGAAAAAAGAAACGTTTCTCAATTGAGTAAATTCACAATGAGAAAAAATGAGATAGAGTGCGAAAGCGGCGGTGTTAAGCTAGGTCCCGAAGTTCCGGAACAGTTCCAGCACAGTTTTGCACTGTACTGGAATCGTGCCGGCACTGTGTACATGCGCTGCAGCCAGCCACATGGGTTTTGAGCAGCGCGAAAAAACAATTTTTAACTCTTCTCAACATTTTTTTTTGAGAGGAATTTTGCTCGTTTTCACTTCATTCTTGTAACTCGCTTGCTCTTGTGATTGGGAAAGTTCCAAACTTGGAGATGGGTACAAGAACGAGCGCTATTTCGTTTTGTGCACCAGCTGAAAACTTAATTAATGCCGATTCCATTCGTGCACATTTCTCCAAGTTCGAAGTTTTTCATAACAAGCGGAACAGTAAGCAAGAACGGAAGAGGAAGCAGTGAAAGTTTCGCAATGATGATGGTTGTATCAGTCCTCTCTGAAGACAGCTGAACATATCGAGGATGCAGTGACTCTCTGGAATACAACAAGAGCGCTTAACAGAAAAATCACGAAAGAGGAGGGGCGAGCAAAGGAAATTAGATAATTTACGCAAACATGACATAGAGAAGTCTCATTCTCGAATCCGCTCGAGTTCGATCCTCTATATCACAAGAAGAAGCGAGATGTGAAAATGAAACGAAAATGGGCACAGTTTACAATCAAAACCGTCGGAAAAAAGTCAAAAATTGTCAATTTGCGTTGCTTGAAACCGTACGCGGGCGCTCAGCGCTTGCAGCACAGTTCCAGCACAGTGCGAAAACTGTGCTGGAACTTCGGGATCAGTATAAACCAAGCCACAGATCGCATGATAGACTACAAGTGTAAGACACATTAAACAAATACAAAAAACAAAAAAAAAACGCTGCTGAGAAATAACATTACCAATCTTTTCCCCCTAGCTTCGGCTTCTAGTCTGCGTTGCTTAGCCAACTCAGCTTTTTCTCTCAGTTTCTTAGCTTGCTGTTTCCTCCTCAATCTCTCGAGTTGCTCGAACTCTTTGATAAGATCTGGACAATTCTAAAGCGCACCATATTATTTGATATCACACATTCGCTGGATATGCGTACGACGTTTCGAAATGCTTAAGCAAAAGCAAATAAGCTTACCATGTCTTTTTCATCCACGTAGCTGTCTGCTTCGCAGTTGATTTCATAACCGACCCATTTGACATGGTAGGTGTAGTTCCCATCTTGATTCATCTAAGGTGTGGTAACGCTTGCAATGTTCCGCTTTTATGATGCAACTCACCGTTCGCGAGAGGATCCGCTCCACTTCATATTGATCGGCTCTTAACACTGAATTGTAAATGCAGTTCTAATTAACGTAACACGGAACAAACTCTGTGTTTTCCGCATTCGAGCTGCTGCTGTAATCTTCTAGTGCAACAGATGCCACAGACGAGACATCCGATGCACACCCATCGTCATCATCAATCGAGACTTGATTCATTTCCGCAACAGGAGGAGGCGACAGTGAACGTCTATCGTCTAAGAGGTGATGGTATGGAGGTGAATCAGGAATAAATGGAGGTGAATTTGGAACAAAATGCATGTCATCGGACTGGATGTCACGTGGACTCTCACATCCGTCTTGATGTTGAGGTTGAGTTTCCTGAGCTAAAACAGAGTAGATAAGCCAAGAATGTACTGCTTCAAGTAGATCAAATCTCTAGTTATGGAAGGATCATGGTAAATTCTGCGCGCCTCTATAAAAAAAACGCGGCCAGATTTAATGTGGATCGTTACCTGCAAAACGTGCTCGTTTACCATAGCTTAATGAAGCCTGTATGCCTAATGGTTGAAAAAGAAACACAGTCAAAAAACATAGGTCTTTAGGCATACTAAAATGAAGAGAAAGAATGATCTACTAAAACGACGAAAACGGACTAAGCAATGAAAAGAAAGAACCAAGTGAACTTACCACTTTGAACCAGCTCACGGAAAACGTGAAAAAAGCGTTCCAGGTGCTCTTTTGATAGATTTCTCAAGCCAGCACTAATTGTAAGATCGTGCGGAGTTGGATCGCGAGTTTCCGCAATTTTCAGCAGTCTTTTCATGCAGCAGTCAACGCTTTCCTGGAACAATATCATAAGGTAGAATAATAACGAGAGCGATTATTGTTGTCTCTACACTCTTGTAGTATCCTCAATCTTAGGAGAACCTCCAAAGAACGTTAAGACTCGACAACTGAAATGGCGCCCTAGATGCGATTCAAACATCATCACACACGAAAGAGTTGCGTATGGTAAAGAAAACTATGCTTCGCGTTCCTAGATTTCGGGGTGGCAAGTAAAAAAATTTTTTTTGAGAAAGACTGTTGTGCGGCATGAGTTTCCTGCGTGCACTAAGCAAACATGCATATAGTCGACTATCTTCCACTGATATAAATTTATTAAAATAGTTCCCAAGCAATACAGTAAGCGGAAATGTGGCAGCTAACACGCATAGCATTTTTGCGGGACAGTTCGTAAATCAATGCTTCGAAATGCACACTGTTTTAGTTAGCGTTAACAAAGTCTGCAATGCTCAGCCTATGGCGAGAGGCGATATCAGATGTCTAGATAGAATATCAATAGGAAAGGGATGATCGCCCCGGAAACTCACCATACTATACCCATACTTTCGCGCCGATTCTCCGATTTTCGACGAAAATTGCGAAGACAGTTCATCGTACCTGCGTCGGCACAAGCTGGCTTTGGCTGCTGACATTCTAGAACATCAGAAAACTGATATACAGCAATATTGATGACCAAAACACTCGCTTTATTTTGTTTCAAATCAAAAACAACAACAGCGAACGTTCAGATAAGGACGACCGGTAACCACACGGCGCTGAAACGGCTGGATTCGCCTTGGAGCGCGGCTGTCGAGCGGAGCGCGTAATTGTCATGGAACTTGACTTTTAGCGTTTGACGAAAGTTGATTCAAAGGTTTTTTTGACTCAAGTGGTTCTTTTTCGCATGTTTACTTACAAGAGTCCACTCCGCTTAAGTGCACATATAAGTACTTATTTTGCGATAATTTCCGCAGTGTAGGTCCTCCCAACTGAGGCTAGATGCATATACTCACTACAGAAACGGGAATTGGTTGTTGCAGAAAGGTGAACCAAATGTAGGTATTGATATTTGGAACGTATAACACATAACCAACATCTCTTCCATAGCTTGCAACAACTAGGCGAAAGTGAAGAAGCAGAACAAAAGAGCGATTATACGGAAGTGGTGCATGAGATGTGGTCGTTATGATTAGCAAGACAGTAATTCCTGGATACTGGATCAATATAAGCTTGCAAGATAAAAGAGAAGGTAGACTGAAATTAGTTCTCCTAATGGCACTCTTGTTCTTGCACATGTTGTCATGTGCTCCAATGTTGCTTTGAAGTACGCTGGCTTATTCACTGTTTGATTTGTGCATCAGAGAGGTTCTCGTAGGTACCGTCAACGTGGCTGCCTCTCGATCGTTTTGACACGTTAACTACAGCAAATTGAAGGCGCTTATTCGAAGCTGACACGTTGAAACGATCGAAAGGCAGCCACATTGATGGTACTGGGAACCCCCTTCGAGCACAAACGATGCGTGAGTCTGATCGCAATAACACTTTCCACTACAGCTTTCAACTTGGGTCGAGTTTATTTGTTGGACTCATCAAGATTTCTTCGTTACTTTTGATCTGAAGATCAAATAGAGTTTCCATTGAGTTCATCCCTTCCCAGAAAATGTAGAATTCTTTGCATCTCTGGCCGGCATACTTGACTCCACCCTTTCCTTCGATACGCTATAGTAAAGTCAAGTCAATATTCCATCACTAAACAAAATTCCCCTTTCCATGTCCCACTCCCGTGTGTTAGATTCCCTTCCTCATTATGTTTTCTTGTTCAGCATACATACTTATCCATCTGCACCAACTCCACCCGTGGCTCAGACTCAAAAATCAAAATAGTCATTGAGCGATAACAACAAGTAGGCTAACATACCCTCCCCGCCCAAAATGCTGTGAGCATGGTTTTGTCCAAATCTTATTTGTCCAAATTGAAGTCAGGTGAGGAAATCCGCTCTAATCACAATCCGCGCTCCATGGCGAATCCAGCCGTTTCAGCGCCGTGTCGTGGACTCTTGTAAGTAAACATGCGAAAAAGAATCACTTGAGTCAAAAAAAACCTTTGAATCAACTTTCGTCAAACGCTAAAAGTCAAGTTCCATGACAATTACGCGCTCCGCTCGACAGCCGCGCTCCAAGGCGAATCCAGCCGTTTCAGCGCCGTGTCGTTACCGGTCGTCTCAGATAAGATTTGAAGGCGATTGGAGACGTCGGATAGGCAAAAGCTGGTGCGATGGCACGATCTCTTTGTCTTACAGTATCTCCTCTCCATTCCCGCATTCGCTGCAGATGTGTGCTGTACAAGGGTTCAAGGGAATTCCGCAGCGCACATGTCTGCAGTCTATGTCATTAGCTTGCTCCCTTCTTTTCTTCTTCTTTCCCGTAAGGGGGCCGTCCATGAAGTGCTGGCGAATGCCCAGGCGCATCGTAAAGTGTGTCGGGATGCAGCTAGTCACAACAGCTGCTCGAGGGGGTTGGCGGATGACAGCCAACCTCTGGCAGTGACCTCCGCCCGCCGGCAGGAGCCGGTGCCCTCTTTCCCCTTTTCCCTTCCCCTTTTGTATATAACTATGTATGATAAATATTATAGTAAAGACCTATATAAACCCGCTACACATCAGGTAAGGGCGTCATGAACCCTTATACCTGACATGGAAGTCCCGGGAAGATTTTTTTTGAGCACTAATCAACAAATCCCTTGAAAATTTCCCCCTTCCCTCCCTTCCCCCCACCATATCGACAGCAACGCCACCCAAAGTCACAACGAACGAATAAGTGAGTCATATTTTATTTTTTGGATAGTACAATCAGCTAATAGTATGCAGTGACTGTTAAACAAAACAACTTTTCATAGAAGAGAAACTAAAATTTCAGAAAAGAAAAAGGTACCGAAAAAAATATATCACGCAAATTACTAATAATCTTTGATTGAATTATTCAAGGATAAACTCTAATAGTCCGCGCGAGCAGTCCCAGATCCCTAAATCATTCAAATAGAATACGTAATTAGCTCGCTCAACTTAATTTCGAATAAAATGCATTTTTTTCTGACCGTTTAGGTGTATCATGATCGCCCTTAGTTGTCAGCTAGGTTCTTAACACACATTCTAGCAGCATTTTCTACAAAAAAAATTACCGGTGCAAATGTGCAAGGACGGTGATGACGAAATGTGGTAAAGGAGGTAATGGTGAGGAAATAAATGTATGGGAACAGGTGAGCAATATTGGGCAATATACGAGTCAACGCGCAACTAATCAGTAACAGAAAATTCCTTTTTGCTTCAAATATTACATTGCATTGTAGAGGGAAAGAAGAAAATTCTAATGGGGAAGTTGAAATCATTTTAGTGAACAATACATTCAGTTAGGAAGACTTGCAAAGAAACGGTGGCAAAAAAACACATGCGATGTTTGTTTTCGTAATTGCTACAATATACACTAATGGGGCAAGCATGAATCTAGGACAATATAACTAGTTCACGACTTGGGCGAAACGATTTTTGTGCTTACGTTACTATATAGAGTTTTGGTTTTACTAGAGCTGCTTACGAGGAAAGTTTGTGCAAAGATATTTCCTTGAAATCGCCGGTTTAAAGAAATATATGAAAGTTAAAAAGGGGCGTTGCGGCAGAAAAAAATAGAAGATAGACCTACGAATGGAAAGAAAAATCTACTAACCGAGCGAAAAGACAAAGCGTCTTGTTCAGTTAGTGTTTTCCGGTTGTAGGAACCCTCGTAGAACTATTTCTACGAAAACGTGCAGATGTTTCCGGTGGTGGTGAGTTTGGAATTGGATTTGGGGTGGAATATTAGCAAGTGTGGAGGCGAGGACAATAGATTTTGAGTTTATTGATGTGTACAACTTGAAAGGACTGATGGCCAGTCAAATTGCGGATAGTAATGTTAGGACGATTTACATTTTCTACGAGATGAGGACCTTTCCACTGAATTGAGAATTTTGGACGTACTGTGTCGTCATGCAGTAACACAAGATCTCCAGTGGAAATGTCCTTGGTAAAAACTTAATGTAAAAAGACGTAACCTGATTTGTACCTAGCAGTTTTTTCTGCAAGTTGATTACCTACTTCCGTAATCGTTGTTTGCAGAGCCATTGTGAATTGATCGGCGAAACTGTCTGAAGCGTACGTGATTCCGGACGGCAATTGGTGGACGATGTCGCACCACGTGATGGGATGACGTCCATATACGATAAAGTAAGGGCTGTATCCTGTAGTATCATTAATGCTGGTATTATATGCAAAAACAATGGGTTGCAGGAAATATGACCATGAGTCTCACGCTTCGGAACAACTAACATCCTTTTATTATAATTTCCTGTTTCCGACATCTAATCGTGGCAAAATGATGTTATTTTGTGATTTAATTCAATAGCTGCTTTTTTTTTTCAGAAAAGCATGTCTCGCGCTAACTCTCCTGCTGACAGCTGGAAATTGCTGAGTAATGTGGAGATGACGTCCACTCCGGAGGTTTCGCCGGTATCATGGCCGCAATGGGTGGAAACACCCACGTCACCGAATCCAGTGCCCAATGAAACGGTCAGTGAAAAATAGTGCGACTTCACTATTAATTATAGAGAAAAAAATTTTTTCGCAAGGATTGAGGAGCTTGAGTCCGTGGTGGGCGCTACCTAGGCCAGGAGCAACGTCGGTTGGATGAAAATGCGGACACTGTTACTTGCGCGGATGAAAATGTTAGTGGAAAATATTGCAATTTTATGTATGAATTACAGAGAAAAAATTCTTTTTCAGGCAAAAATTCAGCAAGTGGAGTGCAAAATCGCTTAGAGTGCCAGTTAGAGGCGACGCAGCGCCAGCTGACTGAAAACGAGGACACTGTCTTGTCTCGCACGCACCTGTGGACGACGCTGGACACTGTACGCGAGCGACTTCGCGAAAAGGAGGACGAAGTTGGGCGGCTACAGTATCAATTCGACAAGGCGCGCTACGTGAGTGACAGAAATCTACGGTCTGAGCGGATAATCAACATGAAGTTGACAAGGGTAAGAGAAAGAGAAAATTTTTTTTTCAAAATCGTGTAAAATGTACAAAATAAATTTCCAGGAAAATGCTGACATGGGGGAAGATACAGCGTGTTTGCGCACGCTGATATCTATCACGACCGGTAGGCGTTCGGGGAATTACCTTGAAGAGATATTGCTCTTCGAGGAGCAAATCTTATCAATGCTGGTCAGCGGGGAGGTAAAAAAAACCATATTCAAGATCCAGAGTGATCAGACAGTACTTTTGGAGGTGCAAAGCATCTTCGGGCACACGTCACAGTGTAAATTTGATTTTTTCAAAATATATATATATGCCGATAATTGTGCTTAATTATAGGCAGCCTCCATGATTGCAGCGGCTACCTTTTTAAGGCATGGTCAGGAGACGGTGAAAGGAAAGCCGATCGTGCGACCGTCTGCCTACAGTTCGGCGATTTATACGTGATCAAGTACGGGTGCAAAACACCCGTTGGAAAATCATTTGATGAGACGTTGCGCCGCGGGGCTACGAGCTCCGTTAACATAAAAAATGTCGCAGGTGGAAAGAAACTGATGAGGTAGATCAACGAAATCGCAGGGAGAAATTAAAGGTTTAGTATTTTCTAGTGTTTCATATCCAGTATTGTGAAATTGTTGAATAAAATTTCCATTTCCCAATTTCCTCGTTTTAACATAATAAATTGAGAAAAGTGTGTGTTTAAAATGAAAATTGAAATGTAAAAGTTAGGGAAAAAGAGGAAAGAAATAGAAAAATCTAAGTTTCTAAAAGTCTGATTGCAATTTGTATTCCACTAATTTTCCCTGAACCGTAACCTTCATTGTGATGTCGTTAAGAAATATCAGAGGGAAGCCGACTATATATCATTAATCACGCTATAAGAAGCGCAGCATATCTCTTGCTTCGCGCTCAGCTGCGCGCTTCACTAATTGGTGGCATATTGGTGGGATGCGCCTGGCGCCTACGCAAGTTTTCGCGCGTATATGCCGACTGTTTTCGCGAGGGAGATGCTATCGAGGATGCAAGAAGCGCTATAAGATGTCATGGCGCTAAATATAACATGAGTCTAGTAGCGAAAGCGTTTCTGATTCATGAAGTCAGCGCTAATACTATTTTATTGTACATATGTAACTGGTTAGACCTTTTTCACCGGTATTCGCGAAAGAGTCCAATCAAATCATGCTTTAAATAAAATTAATCCAGCTATGTGTTGCAAAAAAATAGGTAAGTACTATTCCGGATCCCTGTGATTCGAAATTTTTCAAATCACGGATCACGGATCACGGTTATTCAAAATATTTTGGTCATGAATCATGGTGCAATCCATTGAATTTCTCAGTCTACTTGGGTAGAAACCGAAATTATTTTGCGTACATACTAATTTGCTAGCAAAAACAAAAAATAGAGTGCGATAGGCACTCGTTCGCAGGACTTTTATATCACAAGCTTGGAATAAAATTGGTTAGTGCGCACATCTTTCATTCAGTTGGTTATAATTGTAAGAAAAACTCACAAATTCGTTGGATGGGTTTTTTTTCTCAGAGTAGAATATGCTGTGGGAAATTGGAGGAGAGGGGGGGGGGGGGGTCAATTTGGAAAATTTCCCAAGTGTAAAAAAAAGTTTTTTTTTGAGAAGAAAAATTACCTAAATTTAGGAATATCTCACATGATCTCCATGTCAGGAAGAAGGGTCTGCAGGTCCCTTCCCTGAGCTGTAGCGGGAATACGAGGTTCGATAACACATGATTATAGATAGTTTTATTAACATACTAGCTGGCATACCCGGCTCCGCCGTATGTTCCGAATAGAAAATTCCATTTCTTAACCGATCCGAACCAAACTTGGCACACATACACTTCGGGCCCCGGCGGGTGTCACAGTCCACTTTTCGTTATCGATTGATGTCGATTTTATCGATTTTTTGCAAAATTTGAGCTAGGGGGCTGGGATTTGGCACAGGGGGGGGGGTAATCGAGCATGCTGATTACGAATACAATATTAGTTTTTGAAACCGTGCATTACTTTTATCTATTTTATCGATTTTTTTGCAAAATTTGAGCTAGGGGGCTGGAATTTGGCAGGGGGGTGTAATCGAGCATGCTGATCACTCCCCTTGGGGGTGATCAGCATGCTCGATTACCCCCCTGTGCCAACTCCCAGCCCCCTAGCTCAAACTTTGCAAAAAAATCGATAAAATCGATAAAAGTAATCGATAATCCCGAAAACCAATATTGTATTCGGAATCCCCATGCTCGATTACCCCCCTGTGCGAACTCCCAGCCCCGTAGCTCAAACTTTGCAAAAAAATCGATAAAATCGATAAAAGTAATCGATAATCCTGAAAACCAATATTGTATTCGGAATCCCCATGCTCATTTACCCCCTGTGCCAACTCCCAGCCCCGTAGCTCAAATTTTGCAAAAAATCGATAAAATCGATATCGATCGATACGAAAAGTAGCCTATGACACCCGCCGGGGCCCGAAGTGTATGTGTGCCAAGTTTGGTCCGGATCGGTTCAGAAATGGAATTTTCTATTCGGAACATACGTACACACAGACAGACATATAGACAGACAGACAGACAGACACATACATACAAACAGACATTCAGCTTTATATATAAGACCAGTGCGTCACCTCTGCTTCGCAGAGGCTCGCACTGGCCCTATTTCTGTATGCCTTGCTCATTTTCGCATAATAATGGCATTGAAACTCACCGCGCTATGTAAGGCTATCATGAATGATTCGTAAACAACTACTCATCCCTAGAGGTTTCTCGTGTGAGATCGGTACTTTCGCCTAGATGAAATTTTCTCCGGAAGAGCAGATGCAAATTTGAGTAGGTTTTTTGGAATTATTATGGCTTGGTAGTTGCCATAAGGACAACAAACATCATGGGCTACATCTCTGTGCAAAAATCTTCTCAAATGATCAGGTGAAATCTTGGCAAAACGAACATTTACGCAACTAACTCTTTTTGGCGCCATTTTCGTAAAGTAGCCAACTTTGGTTCAGTTTTCTGGGCTGAAGTCCATGGCTTCCACATTAGCATGTCAAACATCCATGGCATCGCAAAAGTGGTGGTACAGGCTCAATTTTATTGGCCAAAAGCCAAGTGGATCCGATTGACGCGCATTTTTAGAGGGATCCACAAAACGGATCCGCTCGTGCTTTTGTACAGTGGACTCTCATGTTGGTAGCATGCGCTATGCAAAATTTGGGTTCAGGAGGTTGGCTGGAACACGTTCTACGAATTTCGTGACAGACAGACAAACTTACACACAGACACACAAAAACACGTAAACACCCTTAGCCCGTTATTATAAGTTATGATAAGATATATACGTGATAGAAAAGGGGGGAGAGGGGGTAAGGGATGGAGCTGAGCCGTGACGATAGCCAGCCGGCTCCGTAGTCGTCGTCGTCCTAGGAGAGATCCGACTCTCCTTTTTATAATGGACTCGGCCTCCACAACACCTGCTCCACGCAGGCTTGAGCGTGGGGAGTCATGGATGACAGATGGTCGCCCGACACTTGTAACTAATCAATAATCCTTAACACATAATCCTTAACATTCTTAAATTCAATTTAGCCCTATAGAAAATTTCGGCGGCAGCCACGCACCCTTTTTCTGAAATTTCGGAATCATGGACCCGCATAAATCTCAGGAGGCATACCAAAAGATTTTTGGAGTGCGTGGCTGACGTCATGCACCTTCAAAAATTTTGTGTCCGCCCTCCCCCGAATGGAAATTTGGGTGTGCCACTGCACTGTATGTAAAGGCTGCTGCATGACGAAGACGCAATTGCGATATTAGTTGAGCGACGTGAGTGCAACGCGCGCGTATCCTCACCGTTGTAGATAGATCCCTCACCTCATACGCTCTGCGGCTAATAAAGCCGCGTTCGCGCCCGAAGATATTGCGCCTTCGTCATGCAGCAGTCTATATACAACTATGTATGCTATGATTACTTGCCTATTCATACTCGCCTGCTTTTTAATTTCCTAAACTCTCCTGAGCTACTGCTAGACACAAGGGAAGGATGTTAAGTCGAAGTGGCTTTTTTGGATGGGATATATACCATATTGAAGAGTATAATATGTTGGCACCACATCTGCCTTTCTTATCTGCAAAACGTTTATAGACGAGGAGTTATGAGCCCTTATTGGAGCAAAAAATAGATTGTCAGAGTAGGGAAAAAATAGCCGTAATACTTTTTCTTTCTTTTTCTTTCTTTTAGCGGTGATAATCATCAGAGCACTTTATCCAAAAAATACTCTGAAATAAAAAATATCACACTCGTTTGCATTATTGAGAGCTAATAAGACATTAGCAACTTTTATCCAAAATGCACATCCATTTTTTCGCTCCACAAAACGCTCGTAACTTTTTGCCCATAATCCTTCTGCAGAGAAGGACAGGGTCAAGCAAGGGATGTGGCACACGATCGCTGGTTACGATCCCCCCCCTGATTGCTGTCTTAATAAGACCCCCCCCCCCCCCCCTAAGGCTGCGTTCACACTGATCCCGAAGTTCGGGAACAGTTTCAGCACAGCGCCCAGTCCGAGCGCTGTGCTGGAACTGTTCTCGAACTTCGGGATCAGTATGAACGCAGCCTAAATTATATACCTAAGATAACATTACCTGAAGGCCCTCTCAAACATAATGGGCAACATATCCATAATGAGCATGTCAATTAACCCCTGTAGGCAAAGTTGGAGCGAATTATGAAGATTCAAGATACTAGGCTACTCAAGTGAAATGGTCATTTTCCAACATGATTAACTTTGTTTCAAAGGTGAAATAGCCATCCGTTTTTACAGACAAGACAAAGCACTACTTCTTCTTTGTTTACCTCAGAAATCCCGCTTCAAAAGACCCCAACCAAAATCTTTTTCCCATTTTTCGCTTTCATTATGCTTTCAACAGATATCACTCAGAGCTAAGACGAATCAGGCTTAAAACAATCCTATGGAATCACGGGGTTTAGGCTATCGATTCAAATAAATAATGTTCGCTAAAACTGTTTTCTTATATAGTTAATGGGGTGTGGCACACCCTTAAAAGCTGTGGCCGCCACAGCTTTTTAGGAGCTGTGCCACACTCCCTTAACTATGTCATAAAAACATTTTTAGCAAACCGTATTTATAGATAGCCTAGATCTCCTAGTTTTCACGGGAGTGTTTTGAGCCTAACTCGTTTTCTTTGCTTTGAGTAATAGTTGGTGAAAGCACAGCCATCAAAAGCGGAAAATGGGAAAAATTAGATTTTGGTTGGCTTCTATTTCCACAGTTTAGAGGTTTTTTGAAGCGGGATTTCTGAGATGGACAAAGAAGGAGTAGTGCTTTGTCGTGAGTGCAAAGATCGGTAGCTAATTCACCTTTGAAACAAGGTTAATCATGTTGGAAAATGACCATTTCACTTGAGTAGCTTAGTATCTTGAATCATAATTCGAAACTTTGTCTACAGGGGTTAACACGTTTCGGACCGCGAAATCGCGCGCGGCGAAAAAGAGTGTTCTTTCAACCGTTAGCCAACAAAGGGATCTTATTTTGAAGATTGTGTGCTACATCTGTAATGACCACGTCGGATAACCTCCATACCCAAAGTTCTGAGTGAATTCGAAGTGTTTGAATTTTGCCACTTGAGAAGGACTTCTGTGCTTTCCTGAAAGATAGGAACAAGAGCTCAGTTTCTAATAGTATCCAAAAGTATCCATGTTGTGGACGGTAAACATCAGTATTGAAACTAAGGTTTTTCTCTGTGACACTGAAGCAAAGGAATGTTGCGACGTCGCACGCGTCGTTCGCATTGCCGCACTTCGTTGCAACTGTTGGTCGATTTGTGCTTATATCTCCTAAACAGATATCGGCGGCACAACTCTACAGAGTCATTTAAAAGGTAGAAGGTTATGCCTTTGACTTGATAACTTTGGACTAAAAGAAAACCTCCTGTAAACGTCAAGAGGATCCTCCAAAACAGGGTGCTGCACCATGTGCAGCACCGGTCCGAAACGTGTTAATTGACATGGTCATTGTGGATATGTTGCCCATTATGTTTGAGAGGGCCTTCAGGTAATGCTATCTTAGGTATATACTTCAGGGGGGGGGGCGTCTTATTAAGACAGCAATCAGGGGGGTGTCGTAACCAGCGATTGTGTGCCACACCCCTTGCTTGACCCTGGTTGCGCCTCGACGCAGTTCAAACGACAAAAGTAGGCATGGTCTTCAGACTAGCAAATGATTTGAAATCCCCTTTCAGACCTCCGAAGAAGACGATATTTGTCGAAACGTGAAGTCAATAAACATCCACCATAACGACCTGATTGGCAGAACAGCACTACACATTCGATACATCATGCCAAGGTTACAAAATGAGAGTAAGTGGAAATTCAAGCAATTCTATACAGTGCATGGCATCGGCAGTAACACTCGAGATGTGCACTCTTGTATGCCAGTACAACTAAAAAGAACCTCGCACGTACGAGTTGATGTCTCGGCAACTGAAGGAGGAGCTAGGAAGGGACGGAGCTACCGCCAACCTCAGAATTGGCTCTACTTGGAAAAAGCTTCCAAGTCCCGCACGTAAGGTCTTCCGGTTCTGCCTCACACAAGAATGCTTAGGATTCTTTTTGTAATGATTATGATACGACCACATATTATGCACCCTACGTGTGTCCTTCTGAATTTGCAAATTCGGTTTCTTCGCTACGAGTTTGCAGTGTTGTAGCGCAAAAATCTTGTAGTATTATTGCGCAAGTCCTCCTTAGTATTATTAGACACACTTTTCGTTGCGTCTGTGATAAGTAACAAACTTGCGAGCTCAAAAATCCGACAAGGGAAGCTTGTTTAGACGAAGTGGTTTTTCTAATTAAGATGTATACCATTAAAGGGCATAAAATGTTGATCTCAAAACTGCCTTCCTTATCTGCAGAACGTTTATGTTTGAGGAGTTATGAGCGCTTTTTGGAGCTAAAAATTGACGGTGCATTTTGGATAAAATGAGTTGCTAAATTACTACCTTCAAATAATGCAACCAAGTGTTTATCTGTTTAGTTTTTATTTTAGAGCACTTTTAGAAAAAATGGCTCTGATGACTATCACTGCTCTATTGAAGAGCTAGAAGATGTATTACGGCTATTTTTGTTCTAACTGCACATACAATTTTTTTAACCAATTAGCGCTAACAACTTCTCGTTCATAAACGTTCTGCAGATAAGGAAGGCAGATTTGGAACCAGTACTTTAGCCCTTCATTATGGTGTAAACCCCGTCTAAAAAAGGCACTTTGAGTAAACATGCACTCTTTGTAAGTTATTGAATTTTTGGATCGCATCTAAATTTGCAAAGTCGCATTTAGATTTTGAAGCTCGCTGCTTCTTATCGCCTGTAATTCAACTGTTCCCTTCGGAGAGGCGCTAAGGGTGGTGGTATCAGCAGAAAATCTTTGTATACTGAAGAGAAATGCGTTACCAGCAATAAACATCCTATTCGCTGAAAAGAAGGTAGTGCACAGACTTGGAACGATCCCAAAACCCTAACTTTAGTCCAAAGTTTCGTGTTTCTCGCCTTTCATTTACATGGTTTTTCATGCTGATGATTAACTCGTGGAGTAAAAAGGCCGAAGAATGCAAAGAGTCAAAGGTGCATTAAGGCTCGTGTTTTTTGGAAAAAAACGACGCAAAGTAGCCCGACTCATGTGGCATGACCGCAGCGTGGCCATATCTCGCTTCAAATAGGACGAATTCCTGATTGAAGGGCATCATTCGACCCAGCTCGGCGCGGCGCATCTTCTGATATATAGACGTGCCCGTTTGGACACAGCAGATGGCACATACCATGAATCGTTTCAGATCTTTTCTTACGGTAGGTTAGTCATTGTGCTTATTCATTGCACTCACTGAGCACTGTATTGTAGGCATAAAGTAATGTCCTTGGATTAAGAATACGTTTACCCTGAAGCGAGATATGACCACGCTGCGGTCATGCCACATAAATCGGGCGAATTCCCGTCGTATTTCAAAAAATACGAGCGATATTGTATGGTAAACAAATGTTTGAGAAACAACGAATGTGATGAAACGAGAAGACGTAATCTATTACATAATTTCCGCTATACTATTTCTTCTTCTTAAGAGTTTAAAAAGCTTTCGAAAAATTTTATGTTCAAGGCATGTTGATGGTGCAGAGGTCCACCCATCAGCACTGTCAGATCTGCGGCTACGCAAAACACCCACTTCATGGGTGGGAGTACGTTCTATGGACATTTTTGTCAATGAATCCAGGTGATGAGCGAGAGAACGGACGATGTGGTAAATGGAGGACCACGTTGGCGCAAAATCGCATTTTGACATAAAAGTCTTTTTTGAAGAATGTCACAAATTATTTGCAGTCCCTCTGTATCAAGTTCCACACAATGCACACGGAAAGAAAGATTTTCGACACATTTAAAAATTTTTGACATAATTTTCACCCCTCCTTGACATTCTAGCGCACCACAGTGCTGCCATAAAAGAGACAGTGCTAATATACATTCCATAAAAACTTTAGGAGAGGGAAAACAAAGGGGACCAAAGGAAAAAAGCAAATTTTGCGAAAATTTCGGAAAAGGAAGGAAATACACTTCTCTAGTATCATGGTGAGTAAGCCTTCTTCTTGTTTTCGCGCTGCTTTGTCATTACCAAACTTCACGATTCTAAGCCCAAATGCCTTGTTCAATTTTTCTTTAACATTGTTCGTATTGACAAAGTATTCTGTGCCAAACAGTTCTGTTAGGTGATCTTTATTAATCAAATCGAGACCTAAGGTTTCGACGTCTTCGTCTTCCTCAGAGGCCTGGAACTGGCTCAGAGTGTCATCTGCAGCTCCACGTCATCAAACATTCTTCCTATTCCCTGACTTCCCTATTGTAAAAACGTTAGGGCGGAAGACGAACATACCGACAGATCACCACTATGCGAGTTTCCACACCGGAAATGATGGTGGCGGCGGAAGAATGAACTATATCATATATGAGCTTCGGATGTCATCTACACAGATCGCATAACGATATGAAGGGAAGGAAGTCAGAGATATTGACAGGCACTCATTTCTGTTGTTCATAGCTGGATTTTTCGCTGAAATCCAGAACTCCTTTAACGCTTTCTAGCTGAGGTTTACTTTTCGTAGGTCAAGATTTTACATCTGATATTGAAACCATCTCTACCATGCGCTTCATTCCTATGCCTGCCCAGAGGTGATAACTGAGTTTTACATCTTTTATCTGTCATGTATTCGCTTATGCGAGTGCCTAATGATCTTCCTGTTTCTTCAATGTAGAGTGCATTACAGCTAAGACATTCAATTTGATATATCACTCCCACTTTAGCATAATCGTTCATTTTACCGTGCGGGCATACTACGCAGCATTGATTCAACATACAGTATCGATCTTACAATCTATGTCGAGCTAACTGCTTTTGATGTTGTCGTTCATGGACAGCAAAATTTGCAATTGTGCGCGTTGTATGCATTTTCGAAAAGCCGCATTAACAATATCAGAGATAAACGGGAGGCACAATGGAAGTTTATTATCTTTATGAACGTTGTTACCGATTCTGAGATGTCGACTGTGTGGTAAAGAATGGTACCATTGTTGCAAGCAATCTGTGACGCTAAATCTCGTGACTCGCAACGTTCTTTTTCGAAGGAATCGGAACATTAGCTTCGATTGGATTGCTAAAGATTACCTAACAAACCTGTTTGGCACAGAATACTTTGTCAATACGAACAATACCCAGATCCAAAGAAAGTGGAACTTTGGAGTTTTTCCTCAAGATCCCAATTTTAAGCGTTCGCGGCATTTGTTCGCGATTTAGAGCGTCTCTGTTCAGACATTGTTTTACAGAAACTGTTCCATGGAGCACAATTTAGCACTACCGACTAGCTCGTTCTTTGAATTATACTCGTACTATACACGATTTAAAGGTTTCACATTTTGACTTTGTGCAGTCAATATTTATATCTCTTCGGTTTCGTCTTTTTTTCAGTCACGCATGTCAAGCGGATTATTGAAAGCATGAAAGATAATACACGAAGAGAATTTTCAATCTTCATCACTTTTCAACTTATCGCATATCTTAGACAACCATTCAATAGGTATTTTCTCTCCATTTATGACGCTCTTCGCAGTGCTTGCATCCAGAATGGCTATTTTTTCTGAGGCAAGGAACTTGTTTGTATCGCTGGCCATTTCTTGAGAAAATGCTTTGCTAAAAGATGTTAAACCATCTAAGTGTGCTAATGAGCTGAAACAAAAGGACAAACCTGCAGTCTCTTATAACCCCAGTTAGAAATCCATGCTTACTAGCATCGGAAAGGGTGTGGCGAACACAGATATCGTACGCTAATCCACAACAGAGGACTGCTGTGATGTTGTTTGATTTCAGCAATTTTTCTAGTTCGTTTCTGTAAACAAAGTTTGAGAATAGATAATCTTTATATTGACACTTGCCATTTCAGATATGACCTAATGATATTTGGAAGATTTTTCTTTACAAATCTTGTGCATGTATGATAGAGGTTCACGTGATCAGCCCTAAGCCATTCGATCTGATTTTTTATGATGGTTCAGTTGGATTTTGGATCGCCCTCTTATCTGCGTTCTTGTTCTGATTTTTTATTCACACATGGTGTCCTATTGTTACCAAATTTATGGCCATGGATACAGCTCACAGTTGCTTTCCGTCGTTGTCAGCAAAAGCAGAATATGAGTCAACATGGGTCTCCTCTCCTTTCCTTATAAGAAAAACATTGCTCCCCGGAAGAACGAGATCACTATGCAGCTGTGCGCCCCAAGAATTCTCCACGCAGTGAGAAGGATAGAGAACCTGCAAGGAGATTTTAGAAAATCACAGAAGCAACTTCCCGTTTTTGCATGTCCGTAATCGTATACTTCAGTTGCGGACGGACAATTGAACCAATAAAAACCAGCCTGCTTCAGCGACGGAGTCTCGAACTGTACCGCATCAAATGCTTTCAATTCTTTATCGTGGTGACCATTCTCCAGCATTCTATCCGTGTCTTTGGCCCTTTCAACAAACGATATGTGATTTTTTGGGTGCCAGTCCTCAATGTGAATAGTTGAGGCAAACAAACATACAGCAATAGGAATGAGACCAAATGCTCCTCAGGTTTCGTGGACTTTACCTGTGTGTATACAACCATGTCGAGACTTTCCTCATTAGCAAGATCGTTAATAATCGGAATTGCATCTAAAGGGTCTTCTCCAGCGCTACCTTCCTGCAAACATCTTGTTCAACATTTTTCTCTTCCCTTTGCCACTGTCATAGCAATATTTGCTATTTAAAGAATTTATGGCAACTGAGGATCAGGCAAAATCCCAATTAATCCAAGTCATGAATAAAAAGTGGAATTTCAGAGATGTGTCCTCCTCCAGAACCTTTTTTGCATATATTACCTATGGAAAAGCAATTTTATAATTTTTTGCCTTTGTCTTCTCATGCTCGAGATTAGAGAAAAGCTTACCTTTACACTCAATGATCCAGATATAAAATCATTTTGGAAATCGACCACTATTAGAGCTATTCTTGTATTTGCAACGGCTTCAAAAATTTTCGTTTGTGCTTCTGTCACATTGCTGTCCTGTAAATGCACGATCAAGCTTAAAGTAATCGGATTCTCCCTTATCTGGACGTTTTTCAAACGAAAAAAGATTGCTTGTTTCTTGTGCAAGATTTGATTACAACATAGGAAGGAGCACTTCCTGACATGTGTCAGAAAATTTGACATGTCATCTATTCAACAGGTTTTACCAAGATCTTGTTTAGCCTAACTATCAATCTAAGTTCAATTTGTTTCAATAAATGACCCATTTATATTCAAAAGTTTCAGAAATGACATCGTCTGTTCACAGAGACACAGCAAAACAGAGAAGTGGGCCTTTTTTTCATTGTCCAAGCCGCGAAGCGGAGACAGGTACATGTCATAATCTACATATTCTTTCCTGGTTAAGTTCGCATGACAAAAACAATTCGAAGAGGAGGTAGTTTTGACTCATTGATGAAAGCGACAATGATGTTATAATAAACATTTAGATTGCTTTGATTTTATGAAAACGTTGAACAACTTTTGAGTCATTTCAAATGCTCTCGTACTCATCAGAAATGTTTTTAGAAAAACATGTAAAATTCTTCAAACGTGTTAATTTCATCCTGTCAGGCGGTAGGGAGACAGTCTTCATAGGGTCTAATTTCTAGGCTAGAGAATGTATCATCCTAATTCATGAGAAAATTTTGGAAAAAATCGGTCCTTATAACGGAAAAGCACCAAATATTCTTATCTTGAAAGAAGATTTTATTCAACTTTGCTACCAGCTTACGTCTCAAATTTTGCGGTTGTCTGCCATACTGTACTAAATTTTGGTAGTAATTTTATGTCCAAAATATAGTGCGATACATTAGTATTCAGAATTTTTTAAAAATTTCACTCGCACAAAGCTTATTTAGGCGCCTTCAAGGATTCCGTCGCACTATCAAGTAGAATAGCTAACTTGGTGTTCTTCTTATAGAAATCTAATTCTCAAATTGGGTGAAGGTGCATTATTATTTTGTTGGCTTTTGTTTTTATTTTATATTAAACTGACCTTATCCATAGTTTCGATAGCTCTTTTAACTTTGTGAGGCCTGCGTAAATCGACACATTTCGAATATTCAGTATCAGTATTTGCATCTCGTGCTTCGCATTGTGGAGCTACCATTACCAGGTCTAAATATATGATCAGTTCACAAGCAGTCTTCAAAATGGGAGATTATGTAGCAGACTTTTACGCGTAGAGATCCTGTAATCAAAGATCCCACATTTGATTTGTCTAGAACCTGTTACTATGCAGGTAATTGAATCATGCAATTCTCCGCTAATGGAGTTAATCTCTATGCGTTATGCGGTGAAAAACCAAAGATGCCGCAGTACATTTACGAGCAAAGATTCCAAAAATAAGCATGGTATGCTCTGTTTTCCTGCAATAGTCATACTGCTAGTGCAAAGTCATGTTTCTTGGCATAGATATACAAGTTGAGTTGTACAAGTTCTATCAAAATATAAAGGCGTTTTGCTTGGTCATAGATCGTGCTATTAAGATACTCCAATTAACTTTCAGATTCTCGGAATCCAGTACAACTCTTGAATTCAGCGCCAGTCTCTGTTATGCTGTTTACTGCTGTCGCTTAGCAAGCATAGATGCATGGAAACATCAAAGTCTGGGTAAAATCCCACAATGGCATATTTTCTGAGGTAGAATTTCATAGCAGTCCGCAGAAAACTCGAGCTCGCGCCTCACTCAAAATTGTTTTAAAGTGATCGAGATTTGCAAAAAGTCTGTTGCTTTAGAATGATGGCATTTGACACAAGAGCTTGCAGAAACATTGAGAAAATAAAGTTCGACGGAAGGTTCAATTTTGTAAGACATAAAATTCCAAGATCATCAATGAACGTCGCGATAGTGATTATTCAATGGCCACTATGACTAGATACAAGCGTTTATGCTATTTAGAAATTCTGATAACACTTTGAGCGCACCGTTCCAAACTTTATGTGAACATATAGAGCGGAATATACGCTTTTAACAAACATACAATGTTTAAATACAATGTTGATGAGTAAATGCTGATAGTGACTGATTCACAGTAGTGGATGAAAGCTGTGATGTGCCAATTTGAGACTATTTTGTAGCAAACGAAAAGGTTCTTTGGTTACGACTGTAGCTGCATAACAAGTACTCAAGTAATTCTCCATACTGAGAATGAACGGTAACACCCGGTAGACACCTGATAAATTTCATTTTATTTCATTTTATTTCATCTATTCATACAATGATGCGCCAAACGAACGTGTTAGCTCAACAAGTTTGTCTTACTATAAAATAAATGATGAGAAATAATAAGGGCCAGTTTCTCGAAAAATCAAACTATTAGGTCGTTCCGAAAGTAATGTCGCTTTTTTCGAATGAACGCCACTACTCGTGGAATCAACATTTTCAAGAGATCTTAGAAGCATTCGATGCAGCATCTCATCCTCTTTCTAATGGTTCTAATTTCACTGCATAATGTTAAATGAGTTCTCGAAAAATTACCAAAATCTGCGACACGTGCTTTTTGCCATGGTCAAGTTCGGCTATTTTTCTAAATTTTTGTACCTAATTTCAAAAGAAGAGCAAGTGACAGGTTGATAGAGCTAACTCTATAGGACATAGAGTAATTTTCTTATTTCCTTAGCTTGCTTCTTAAAGTTTCTGGAGTCAATTTTTCAGTTCCATCAAATTCCATATATGGTCAACTCAAACCTCACAGAACAATGACCGGCAAGCAACTCGGGTGTCATTCGACGCAGCTTTTTCTCCTCTTTCTACCACTTGTTTTTGTTTCTGATTCAACACGTTTTCCGGGTAAAATTATTATAATTCAACTTTTCCAGGGCGCCCCAGGCTGTACCCGAAATTTCCGAAAGTTGCTAATCTGAAGCGATGAATGCTCATATGCTTTGTAAAATTAGTGTTAAACCATAATCTATCTTTGTAAGTTTCAGAATCCGAAAGTTTATTGGTGTTTGATGCATACGTGTTTGAGACAAGCCTGCAAAAATTCGGTGACTTCATTGAAAAATCTCTACAAAACTTATGACGAGATACGGAAAGCAGAAAAAATGGTACTGTTTTCTATAGGGTTTGCTCTATCCATCCATTACTTGGACTCCTTTCGGGAGTTATTACAAAAGGTTAGAAAAATTGTGAAACTTGACCTTCCCAAAAAGCATGGGTTGGAGATTTTAGTAATTTTTCAAACGCCCATTGAGTATTCTGCATTGAAGTTATAGCCATTAGAAAGAGGATGAAATGATGCATCGAATGCTATCAAGATCTTATAGAAACCTTGCTTCCATGAAATGTAGCGTTCACTTGAAAAAAGCGACATTACTTTCGGAACGACCTAATATATAAAAGAGAAACTGCAGCCTGCGCTCAATAGGTTTATAGATGTAAGTATGATGAGGAAGGATGGACGGTCATGCAGCTATGATGTGAATAACCTTTGAGTTATCACTCTCAAGCGAAAAGAAAGACACCTGAGCTATACTACTACTACACCGTTACCTACACATAAAGACACCAAATTTGAGTTCAATATTTCATGATTCTGGAAACGTGCAAATCGCATACAGAGGGTACAATACATGAATTAATTTTTCCCCATCTCTCCTGTTGATGTCACGGTTCATTTCTATCTAAATACTTTTTGAGACGTTGCCTTAGGCTACATGAGGGTGATGAGTGATCAGATTACCAAATTAATGAGAAAAAAGTTGGATGAAGTCTATAACAAATGGATTTCTTCACTGAGTATATCAGAAATCGTGCGTTTTTATGGGCAGTTAGATAACTAGTAAACAAACGTAAAAGCTGTCACGTTGCTTCATAGCGCTTGCGCAAAACATATGCTGCAGGGAACAAACAAATGCTAGCTTGTAAACCATAAGCATTCACTTGAGGTTAATTTTTGGACCTTTCCTTTTATCACGCATCGGAGCGTGAGCAATCGCCTTTTTACGATCATTGTTAGTCGCAGAAGTCGCAGAGTTTACAAGAACATTTTTGAAATCACGGAAAGTCTGGAAAAAATCAGAGTTTCATGCCAAGATAAAAACGACATCTTCAATTCTATCAACATCATTGTAATGAGAAACAGATTAATCTAGAACAATTTATTAGTCTGTTTGAGCAAAAAAAACTCATCTAAAAGACCTTGCTACCAACAGAGCTTAAAAAAATTAGTTGCTGCGTGCATAGGCATTTCTAGTATGATCGTCGTCTTAGCTTACGTCCGCGATGTCTGGAGCAAACATCATGTTTGCTGAGCCATGTGCGGTGTTTACGCTGGCTGCTGTAGAAGAGAAAGAGGAGGCGGACGAAAACACGTCGAAATTGTAGAATCAGACAAGTTCGAGGACATTTCTTCGAATAATCACTATCTACTATTTATGAGTTTGCAGAACACACACACATCACGGTTAGAAAAATATATTGTTGGAATGTGTCTGTGGAGATAAGACTTGGCAACATAGCTCAAGAATGCAACTATTCGCACGTGCGTGTCGAAGGCTCCGGATTAGCACAAAACACAAAATTTTGCACCTTACTTACAATATTATGGCTTTAGCATAAATTCCTGAAGGGAGAGGTGAAGGTACTACTTACTCGGGGTTTCCTTTTGTAGTTTGAATATATTGGGAGACTTAGGCAACCCTTTTGGCAATCAAGTCCTTCGTATAAGTGTTGCGTTGTAGCCATTATCAGTGCTGAATAGCTGAAAAAACAAATCATTTGCGTTGACTATCTTGACCCGAGAACCACTGAACTGACGAAAGTTCTTCAGTAAGTGACATAATTTTTCGACTTTCCGAATTATGAGGTCTAAATTAACGGTTTAGTATGTGTATAGAAGTAAAAGGAGTTTTATGCTTTACGATAACAAGACAAGGCAACTTCTGTAAAGCCTTCGAGTACAAGAGTGCTTTGAATTAAATTTTGAAACTGGAATTGGTAAAAAATACTGGAGCCGGCTAGCTAGCACAACCATCTGTGAAGATTTCTTATTTAGCAGTAGTCCATACATTGTGGCAGACTTAGCTGAAAAAATACAAAACGAGAAGTTGGTCAACATCACTCAACAGGGAAATTCACCGCTTTTCTTCTGCAGGAACTCAGCTAGCGAGAGATTTGTGTTAGTGCTTATCTGGAACATAACGTTTTTCAGACGAGATTAAGGCCTGCTACAGTATGTGTGGGATCCTGCTACGCAAGAGATTTTTACACGTACCATAGAGCTGACTAATACTGGCACTTCAGATTTTTAAGGCTAAATCTGCGAGATCCGAGGTGCCACCTTCAAAACGTTAAATCATCCTCTGATTCGCAAATTACAAAATAAGATCTGATTATGAGTTAGAAAAATTGGGTATTCTTCAGAACCTTCACTCCAATCTTACATTAGTGTTTTCTTTTGGAATTCGACGCTAGAGGCATTATGGAGGGAGGCAAACCGCACACAGCGCTAAGGTTTCGAATATACCTTGCGCGATTTTTCCAAAATCGCTGCTATACGCGATGGCAATTTAAAGATGTCCTAAGTGCGTAGGCGCATGGCTTTTGTAAGCTTATGCGAGCATACCAAGTTTTGCTTTTAGGGTATGTGCCTACGGAAGATTATGAACAATCGTAGCAATTAGGAGTCGCGCGGCGACGAGGTATGCGGATCCCTGACGTTTGGATGCAGCACTCAAGGATTGATGAAATTTCTAATACGTTCACCAAAGGTTTTTTGAATACAAACAAAAAATATGATTGAACGCATTGTCCTTACAAGGTGGGGTTTTTGGGATTTCGGTGTCATGCGAGAATGGACCTCTCGGAAATGCCATCGCTCAAGTGCGAGGCCATAGAGTTTGACCAGAACCAAGAAATATGATCGGAAAGCTGGCAAATTAACGCCCTGGGGCGGGGCTCTCCAAATGTTGAAATTCCTGTTCTGCGGCAGAGGCTGAGTTCACTATGATCCGTAAGTTCCGACAGTTACAGCACAGCGCTCGAATTGTGCGCTGTGCTGGAACTGTTCCAGAACTAACGGATCAGTACGAACCCAGCCCGAGTACGCATGCTGCCACAATTGAATTTTTAAGGTCCTGCAGCTTTGCGTCCCAGCCTTGGCGGGAACCGTCCTATTTCGAATCGTAAGGCTTTTGAAAACGGATGTTCACGCCGTTTTCGCGCTTTCTAATGTGGATTTTGGGATTCAGCATTGCGGATCACCCCAGTTAAATGAAGTTTCTAGACATCGAGTTCTTGCCCGGAACTGCATTTGAGTCGCTGTATGCACCTCCTCGCACTATGGTCTTCTGCCTCAGTTTGACCTGTTGACAGTACGTGCGGAGTAGTTGTAGAGCAGTGTATCTAGCGGAGTGTCTTAAGCTTCGAAGGAGTTTGACGTTTGTGGCCTTCGAATTCTGCGGATGCCCCAAGATCGCCCTAAGGCTTTGGCCATACTTTGCCCGTGTTGCCGATGTTTTCAGTGTTGCCAGTGTTGAAAGTGTTGAAAGTGTTGCCGGTGTTGAAAGTGTTGCCAGTGTTGAAAGTGTTGAAAGTGTTGAATGGAGATCATCAGTCTAGCAGTTTCATTCTTTCTCGAACTATCTCACCGGCTGGTGAATACGTTGGAAATGGATTTGGGGAATGAGAAATGAAATTGAAATGAGATGGGGAAGATTTTCGCATGCAAAAGATCCTCAAACAAACTTTTTGGAAAGTGGACGGCTTGTCTGGAATAGGCAATCTCCAATATTTGAGAAAGCTGACTTCTGAGTAGTAATGTGTTTTAGTTCGAATCCTGCCGCATTTGCAATTAGTGAGTAAAGGACCTAAGTGAGGTCTGCAGCGTTTTCAAATATTGGAGAATGCCTATTTCAGACAAGCCGTCCACTTTCCAAAAAGTTTGTTAGAGGATCTTTTGCATGCGAAAATCTCCCATCTCATTTCAATTTTATTTCTCATTCCCCAATTCCATTTCCAACGTATTCACCAGCCGGTGAGATCGTTCGAGAAAGAATGAAACTGCTAGAATGATGATCTCCGTTCAACGGCTTTGGCCATACTTTGCCCGTGTTGCCGATGTTTCCAGTGTTGCCAGTGTTGAAAGTGTTGCCGGTGTTGAAAGTGTTGAAAGTGTTGAAAGTGTTGAAAGCGTTACCGGTGTTGAAAGTGTTGCCAGTGTTGAAAGTGTTGAAAGTGTTGCCAGTGTTGAAAGTGTTGAACGGAGATCATCAGTCTAGCAGTTTCATTCTTTCTCGAACGATCTCACCGGCTGGTGAATACGTTGGAAATGGAATTGGGGAATGAGAAATGAAACTGAAATGAGATGGGGAATGTTTTCGCATGCAAAAGATCCTCAAACAAACTTTTTGGAAAGTGGACGGCTTGTCTGGAATAGGCAATCTCTAATATTTGAAAACGCTGCAGACCTCACTTAGGTCCTTTACTCACTAATCGCAAGCGATGCAGGATTCGAATTAAAACACATTACTACTCAGACGTCAGCTTTCTCAAATATTGGAGATTGCCTATTCCAGACAAGCCGTCCACTTTTCGCATGCGAAAACATTCCCCATCTCATTTCAGTTTCATTTCTCATTCCCCAACTCCATTTCCAACGTATTCACCAGCCGGTGAGATCGTTCGAGAAAGAATGAAACTGCTAGACTGATGATCTGCATTCAACACTTCCAACACCGGCAACACTTTCAACACTTTCAACACTGGCAACACTTTCAACACCGGTAACACTTTCAACACTTTCAACATCGCCAACACTTTCAACACTCTCAACACTGGCAACACTGGAAACATCGGCAACACGGGCGAAGTATGGCCAAAGCCAACACTTTCAACATTGGCAACACTTTCAACACCGGTAACACTTTCAACACTTTTAACACTGGCAACACTGGAAACATCGGCAACACGGGCAAAGTATGGCCAAAGCCTAAGGGCAAGCGTATGGGCGTGAGACTGTTCCTACTTGGGAAAAATTCAATCATTCGATGAGTAAAGTTCGTGCAAATCGGATCCCATCTGCGTAGGGTCCACTTGACCGATGTCAGGTATTCGGGCGCCATTTGGATTGAGAAAACGACATGTTTGGGACAACTCGCCATAAAGACTGCCTCATACTCTGCACATACAACGCTTAGGGTTGTTTCAGACTGCCGCACTGACTGCTGCAGACTGCAGCTGACTGCACTGACTGCAGCAGACTGCAGCAGACTGCAGCTGACTGCAGCTGACCGCACTGACCGCACCGGTCGCAGCCTCTTTTCTTAAAAGAAAACAACCGCGATTACCAAAACAGCGTGATTGACGCATAAGAAGATCATAAGTTCCATTAGAATTCTTCTCAATCAAATTTTGGCGATAGTTTTCTTTGGTATGTTTGTATTTGTTCTAATTCCTCCTATCATTACATATACTTGTTTTGTAACATTCTAAACCGTGTTGTCTTTTGCTTTTACGTATATATTGTTGTTGTTTGTTTAAACCACAACTATTTATCCTCTCCGCCTGGATGCTACAGCCGCTGCGGTCGTTGCGGTCAGTGCGGTCAGCTGCAGTCTGCTGCGGTCAGTGCAGTCAGCTCAGTCTGCTGCAGTCTGCTGCGGTCAGTGCAGACTGCTGCAGTCAGTGCGGCAGTATGAAACAACCCTTAGACAGTCTCCACAAATGCCCTCAGCTGGCCATCTTTAGGTCCCGGGCAGACTTCACGCGATTTGATCGTCGCGACTGAACGCGAGGAGACAACTGTTACAGCATCATTCCATGCTGAACAACTTTCATTCGGTTGTGATACTTTTCCAGCCCGAAATTTTTGAATGTGAAATGAAAATGAATGGAAATCTTGGCGATTAGATCGCGACTACTAAGTCGCGTGAAGTCTGACCGGGGCCTTAGTCTACATCCTCCATGTCCGAACCATTCCATCTACTGTTACTCCCCAGCACCATCAGCGATGTGATGAACTGCATGACTCTTAACAAAACAAGGAGAGAAGGTCGGTAACGAGATTCCTGAGATTCCTGCTAGAGGTTTATTGTGGGGAACTCCGACGCGAGAAGGAACGCCACTAGAGGAGGTAGGGAAGAAAGTTTCAAGGATTTCAGAATGATGACAAAACTTCTCACTGGACTTCTCGACTCCGCAAGTTTATCTGCATCAAGAGGAAAATGCCGGAGGACATGGGAACCCCACCAGGAAGACTTACGCGTAGATCATTCACATTCTCAGCAACCAAGATGTAATCTGTTGATATTCTAGTAGTTCAGTCCATCCACAATAACTCCGATCACTGCACCCTGCGAAAGTACATTCCAATCGTAAGCTGGAAAAGAATATCTGCCAACGTCACAAGGAAAGAAGAAAGTTGTTCATGTCGGTCACAGGCTGCAAAAGGCTCCTTTTACAAATGCGAGCCCAAGAAGTGTGCACCTCAAAGACCTCTGGGAAACAACTTCGAGGCGCACCACAAAGACCGCCAAGTATTTAGTCAGAAAAAGGAGGAGGGAGGATATGCTGCCTTGAGCCGTTTGATAGCGGATAGCTGCAAGACGGCTGTGGAAGTACAGGACGTTGAAATTACTAGAAGCAACCAAAGGAAGACGAAGTCTTGAAAATGTTTGAGTGACCTCTGCAAATATCCGTACCGTTGGCAGCAGTAAACAAAGTCAGGCTTCGACTCCCCACATTGTAAACTGGAATCTGACGCGAAGAATTCCTACACCGACCTCTCCCGCTCATCAATTGTCTCTCCTGCAAATGGGAGGATCCTCGAACTACCACCCATTATACCTGTCGAGTGTGCCAAAGGCTTTTTATGGAGATTAGCTTTGCCCGCATATTGAGGATACAGGATGGCCCAACCCCAGAAAAGCAGCTGTTTGGACCACATCCAGACGGTTTTGAAAGTTATAGATGTTACCACGACTGCCTTCCTCTCGTCTCAACTTTTCAATTACGAGAAAATCTTTGACTGCTTCGAAACAACGCAGTCCTGTACTGCTACAAGGACTGTACGAACATCACAGCTAGAACCTGGATTCATTGAGGCGGTTCGACAAGGCGAAACGGTCTCGCCGAAGCTATTCACTGCAGCTTTTTGCAGAAGGTAAGGAAATTGAATGGAATGGGAAAGGCATACGGACATTCTGTCAAGTCTTCGTTTTGTGAACGACATCATTCTCCTTTCGAACAGCATCGCTGAAGCAGGGACGATGCCGAAGTTAACGAAGTAGGAAAGTAGATAGATCAGAGTGCGACTGAATCGAAAGAGGGCTCAATCTCTAAGGAACACTCCTTATTGAGGATACCAAATAAGCACTAGATAGAAGATATGATCGGTTTTCAGATTCGTATGGAGTTGAGTTGCGAACTTTCCCTCATGATCAGGATGAACTTGCTGAAGCCTCACGTTATAGCATTGCTTTTCGTACTCTCACGCCATCAAAAACCGCCACGCTTCGAGTTGGAACGACTCCACCTCCACACAAATGTGGGAGCAAATGATACTTCCGCCACAAAACATCTTCTTACGTACAGAACGTCCGATGAATGGAGAACCATCGGATTATGCAAAGTCACAGACCGGATCAAGCCTCGAGCCTGTTGTGTCGCCGGCGAATATGCAACAAGATTAGTATACCAGCTTTAAAAGTGCTACTTTTCTGTTAAAATGGTAAAGGATTACTGGAGGCAGCCAATATGAACGGTAGTACGTGCCAACCATATGTGTTGCATAGGTCATATATTTCCAAAGTTCTTTTTACGCTGTGATGATATCTAGGAATTCGGGAAAAACGCTGGGAGGTCAGTATGCCCTAACTGTTACCGTACCACACCAGTTTCGATCCAATGAAGAATATATCGCATCAAAAAATAAGACTTTATGCGTGGCATATTGACAAATGCTTGAGTACAGTGTGCTCATTGCCAGCTATCGTTCATCTTGGCATACACTCAGGATTACACTGCCTCTCCTAAATGCCATCCAGTTTTTTAGAAATGATATAGTTCCCCAAAGACCTTGTTTGCATACAACAATCGTTCTATGTGACATTTTACAAGCCTTTGTACATAGAAAATTCCTCTCACGGCAGTACAGTCGGATTCGACCTACTGACCATGAGTACGCATCGCACACAATGTCTGAACAAGCTTGATCGTGTGTTTTGCAAATTTATAGTGATCTATCTTACCTAGCCTTACTTACTACTTGCAACCAGGGAAAAGCAGGTTCAAATTTCTGCAGACAATGTGTGAAACGCGAGTCACTTAGTCTCGGAAATGACTCGCGATTCACACAGAACAAACGCCCGATATACCTATCTATGTCCAGAAGGCTCCCCGTGTGTTTTATACCAAATGCAGAACATTTCCACGATGTTGATGCCCTGATTAAAAACATACACAAATTAAAATCTCGTGTTTAGTGCTTCTTTGGTGACCCATACACGAATTGTACCACACTGTACAGTGGTAGCTGTCAAGAGTGGATTTAATGTTGGAAAAATTAGACCCTGCTTCAAAAAGATGCGGTTTTCAAAATTAATTCTTTATCAATCGATACTAGCTAATGTTACAAACAAGAATCAAATATAAGAAATTTCAAAGTGCAAAGTGTTAGCAGCAATGTATAACCGGATGTGGAGCTAAAAAGCTATATACATACGAAAGTGATTATGATAGGTGTAAGATCAGTATATGAGGAGACGATGAGTAAAAGCATAATATTTAGAGAATGAGTTACAAGATTGTACCTTTCTATAACAAGTGTTCATAAAAACAAGCTTTCTAAACAATGTGATGGGACATAGAAAGAATTGACAACTGACTAGAAAAGTGTAAGAAATGTGATATGATCTAAGTGATTCGATTAGATATAGATAGCACTGAAGGATTTACCAGCTATCACTGTATCGTGGGGTACCTGCGATAAACGCATGAGCAGCAGCAGTCAGCTCTTTTTGAATCTGTGTTCCTCCCGTTGCTAATCGCATCCATCGACGAGAGTACTGCATAAAAAATCCATCGACAATAAACAAGAAGAAGGAGAAAGTTACCGGTTTGAGTGGCTTCTTCGGCGGCTCGAACAAATCGCAAGATTCTGGACGTTTCTTCAATTCTGCAGTAGCCTGAAAATGAAAATATGCTTTCGTCTTGAAATCAAAGAGCGTCTGCTCATTATGCAACGGCCGTTACCAGATTATTAAACTTCAACACAATGATGGCACTTCCCAGTGCGATGTAAATCTTTCACGTGGGCAGCTAACTTCGGGAGATAATACTAATTATTTGCATAAATCGGCGAACTTCATTGAGAAAAAATATGATAGCAGCATAGTTCTTGAAGAGTTGTGTTGCTTATTTTTTATCTGCTTAGTAGCATTCTCAAACAACATTCCGTGGAGGTTCTGCGTTAGAGACAGACAGCTCGCAGTATGCTGAACGATAATGATGTGCAACTGCTAAGCGCAATGGGTCTTTACTTTAAACTAAAGCTTCATTGCCGCAATGCAAATACTATGTCTTGAAGAAAAAAACAAACAACCCAAACTGATTTTGCCGACCATCTGCAATCCCCACATTATTCTCCTCTAATAGAAAAGATTTAGTAACACTCGTAATCAATGCTCCGAAAAAAAAATTCGAATTTACGGACTAAAAAAGGTATATAATCGGACGCGCACCTTTCGTTCCACGTTTTCGTTCGGGCAGTTGTTCACGATATTAGTGCTCTCAGTCTAAAGTGAAAGATAAAATTACCAACCACAAAGATGGAGCTATAAATCACCAAAAGCTTCCTAGGTTGTAGCGTTCCTTGCCGTTGCACATCACGCATTGCACGTTTGAATGATGTTGGTGTAGGCGGTGACGATTTCAGGACAACTGGGGACGTTGCAAGAATTGGGGTTTCTGCCGGATTTTCCAAGCTGGAAAAGATTGACTCACAAATAGTCCTGTTACAAACCACGAGAACACTTCTATAACTCACCACAGATCTGCATACGGGTTAGGTACAGGAGCAACATTGGTCGCAGGGAACAGGCATGCTTGGGAAGAAGTCCGAAGAGGCGTAGAAGTCGCTTGTATGCTGAGATCGTTGCAGAAAAGCCCAGAATCGTCTGCCTAAAAGCGGAAAATAGAGAATTCATTAAATCTTCTCTCCTTCGCTGAGCGAATACCAAAGCAACATGAACCAAAGCCTGATCCCTCCATTTTTCTACACGCGAATCCGTAAGCTCTAAACTCCCTCGCTGAGCATTAGTTTGGAACGACAGGGTGCTCTAAGAAAACCCCTTATTTTCAAATACTCAGGTTCTTCATGAAAAAAAAAACGTTTTTGTGATCTGATACGTTCAAAATAAGGAAATTGATGATATCAAACAATTATGACAAAGGAGACGCGAATGAATGTACAAACCATGGCCTCCAGATGCGAGTCATAGAAATCCCCCATAGTCATTGGCAATGTTTGGTCAAGGTTTGTGCTGTCACTAGTTGATGGCATTTGGAGGCACCTGGAAAAATGAACAGACATTGCAAGATAATTATAAAATTTTGGCTTACCTAGAGACAGAATTTTCTGTGGCCTCAACACGGGGACTCATGCCGATAATCCTTTTCGGCTTTTCAATCGATCCGCCACGAAAGCGGAAACCTAAAGCTAGACATTGAGCAACAGATCAGCATTGGTTAGGACAACTCACCGACAACATTTTCTGAGTTTGACAACCGAAGCGCACGATCGCTGAATGTTGGGGAGCCGAACGACGTCAGACGAAACGTTCTAAAACATGAGTATAGGATCCTGCAGATAGTGACAATGATAACTATAGAGCACACAGGTTTTTTAGAAGCGTTCTACAGAAAGATTGAAAAAAATGGGATTGTAATAGCCAGATGAGTTCTGTCACGATTGCATACATATACGCATGCACTAAATTCGTGTTGGAGGAGTTGCTGCCTTATACGTCGCTGTACGTTCCAGTTCATTCTAAGCTTCCCCAAGGGGATAATGGTGCATACGTAAGTGTGTAGCATCATACCTGAAAGGTGAAGGAGTAGTGCTCATATGGATCCCTGGACGGGAAGTAGGAGTCCTCAGTCCAGGAGATATCCTGTTTTGATCGGGCTGCAACTTTCACTTTACAGTTGATAACGATGCAAACATTTAACTCAATGACTGAGGAATGGGTGACAATTTTGCGTACTCAATCTCGTGGTACGCCAGAAATAAACGATGAATAGGCAAGAAGAAAGGGAAATGGGATGAACTATGGAATGAAAGAACCGGGTTAAATATGCGAAAACGAATGCTTACCTTATTGATGATAGGAGGGCTGCTAAAGGTCAGATTCATGTAAACGCCAGAATCAGCAGAAGTGCCTAGCAGAAAAGAGTCTGTGTTGCGAGCATTGACCGGTGTCGTAGCCCGAGGCCACTTTGTAGGAGGACTGTAGTCATTCAGTGACTGTGATGGTTGTGTGTTAATTACTTCAGCAGTCTTCAGTGGCGGTTGGTGCTCAACTAGCCATGACGGTCCGGCCGGAGACCACATGGAGTGGCCTTGCTGCTAATAACTGAAAAGCAAAACAGCAGAGAATTGCATTACAGTTTACGTTTTAATTCATGGCAAACGTCGACAAGGACAGACTATCAAAGAAAACAAAAATTGTGATACTTGCACTACACCAAGGATGGCGCCCAGAATGCTGATGGAAAAGATCTAAACTGTCAATAATCGCATGATAAGGATAACATAAAGATGAAGCAGATACGTTGATCCTACGCTTAGATCAAAATGCAATCCAATACTGAACGCAAGAGTCAAAATGAAAGAAATGAGAGCGAAAAAGGAAAAAATGATAAAGAAAAATAATATTAGAAATCGAGTAACTAACCAAAAAGGCAAGTGCAGTGGAAACGTTGGAAATATGGGAGCAGTAAACAGAACAGGTAGTATTAACACCGTTGTATAAAATGTTGATTCGACCAAAACTTGAAAGCTAACTGGAAGTATCGTAAAAAAATAAAAACAGAATGGAAGCTGCTTACGGGGTGATGGAAAAGGGGATAGGATGCAATTATTGGGAGAAAACTCAGTGAGCGAGTTCTGGAAGCTGCATTGTTTACTGATAGAACTGGGGTGATAAGTGCGGGAAAGAAACGACACCATGATAACTCCGCAAACGATGATCTGCAGGAGATAAGGCACTTCGGTAACCCATGCTCTAGTCAAGTTATCCAACTGTCGGCAGCTAAAAGTGCAGCCAGGGTGGTGGGAATCGCAGCCTTGCATGGACATAACGAGCTTGGTGGCCCACGCTAGGTCATGGGTCATCCGGGCTGGTAAGCAGCCTCAGCGCGTAATCTGCTGACCTTGCCTGTGCCACCGACCGGCGGTCGCTGCTAAGGTTGCGCAGCTTCCCACTGCCTAACCATGTATTGATCGCTACTACGCATATTTGCGAGCTCGCAACCCTCAACGCGGTACGATACGACGACCATTAACGAATTCTTTGTCTGCCCCTGGTCGCCTGCATCTCGCCCACCCAACCGCTCACTTGCAATTGACTCGCTGCTCAATTACATATTCACACCGAATCTCGCACATGTCCCAAAAATGAAATGGAAAGCGGAAAGGCAAGAGTAGCAGGAAGTTGGATTCACTTCCACATGCTGCTCAAATAAGGCCTCAAGGTGACAAACTGTCGTGAGATGTCTCAAATGTCTCGATGTCTCAGATGTCTCGCGCATTTAGCGAGAAACAGGACGACTTTTTGTACCATGAGTTCTTGAAAGGAAAGATGGATATTAAGCAAGCTTTGGTTCTGTACTTGGAACTTTTTCGCTCAGTTGCATGTATGCACAAACTCATTGTCCAACTTAGAGCAAAAAAACAAACAACCCTAAAATCTTACAGATAAGACCGCTTTTTTGGCCCAGATGTCTTCCCTACAGACCTTTCAGATAGGTCCGCCCTATGAATAACTTTTTTTCTTGATTACTACCCTAACATCTAGTCAGATAAGTCTCCGAAAACTGTCAGATAAGTCAGGACTTATGTGGAGGCAGAATTACATGACGGAGGTCGCATCCGTGATATTTTAGGATAACAAAATCGATGGCTCAGGTCCCGTGGATTTCACAAAAGTTATTTGAGTCAATTCGCATTTTTTTAATCTGGGTAATAGTTGTTGCTGGCACACCTTGAATCTGAAAATGGGACAAACGAGATTTTGTTTGTCCTCCTACAGTTTGGCGGGTATTTGAGGTGAGCTCTCATGTGGGCAAAGAAGCCTGCTTTCAAACAGAAGCGAACTCTTATTTCTATTTCATGAATGTGGCCAACAGCAGCAAAATGGTGGCATCTCGTCAAAGGCATTGTCCATGCAAATCTTGAACATCATTATTCTCATTTCGGACTCTTGAAGCGCTAAGTTGGCCATCTGTATTCAAATTCGGGATTCTGCCGTAGAAAAAGACGCTAGTTGCGTTTGGAATTTTCTAAATGATATCGTTATCAAGACAAATCCACTGGAGGCAAAATAGAGATTTACGAAGCGCCGGATCTGTAGCCCGAGGAAATGTAACTGCTTCAAAATGATTTTTCGCAGCCATGGGCGAATAGTTGGAAGCCTCGCTGTATTATGGTTCTAAAATTCCCAGATAAGCTGTGCTTTTACACAGTCCGGCAAATACGCGCGCGGCAAACAATCGTGATTTATTGCGTTTACGAAGCGAAAAGCCTTGTTTTATAATGTGAGTGCAAGAGCTATCATGTGCACGTAAAATACACAACTTTTAAATGATGTCCAGCCAGATACCACAATAATTTCGTTTGTCGGGTAAGGCAGCAATACTTTTCTGGAAGATGGATGCGAATTACTATCTAGTATTACCGGTGACTTTTAGATCCATTTATCCCGTTTATGGAACACTTAGCTATTAGAATGGTTGATGTTCTTGTGGCTTATACTTTTATCACCTTCTAATGTGGATAGTAAAACCAAGCTGCCTCCCCTGAACTTTGGAGGGGATTAGTCGACAAGAATAGCAGTCAATCCACGGGAGACAATCAAGAGGCGCGATTTCTTCAGCTGCCACCAACTTAAGACTCTAGCTTAGTGCTATGCGAGTCTTCAAAAATTACCAGATAAAGTGCATTAGCTTACTTTCTGTCTGAGTTCACCATTTCCTGAGTTTCATGGTTTTTGCTTTAAAACGGACTGAAATAATTACGAATTTGTAATAAAATGCATTTTCATGAGCTTTTGACCTTTGAAATTGCTGTTTTGAATTTTTTTTAGAGTAGCAAGATTGAACAACTCATGCAACTATCTCAAACATCTCCTTCTAAATTTCATATACTTTTAGAAAGTTGCAGAACACTTATTACATGCTATTTGGTGTCCAGCTGGCAGTAAAAATCGCGCCTCTTGACATACACCCTCAATCCACCCTCTAAGCAGTTGGCTTCCATATACCACCCAATGGCGTCGCAGAATTTTCGTCAGGGATGGTGGACAACATTTCGAATGAAATGAATTTTTTAGATGCTTTCCGAAGCGGACCCATAACCCCGAAACTATAGAAATAAGGGGCGTGGCTGCCGCCAGGGCCTCGGAAAATTTTTTTTACAACGCCAGTTTGGATTTCAGAAAAGAAGAACTAAATTCGATTATTTACACTATAAGCAAATCGCTTGCACAATTTTATAACTCAAGTAAGTAACATTTGAAAATTTCCCGGCCATCCACTCAACATTTCTTATATCCATAACAAGAATTCGTTGATTACGAGCCCTAAATTTTAGGCTGTAACTCCACGGAAAGGTCACAAGAGAAAATAGAAGGCGAACATGCCTAAGAGCATCTGGGCTTCCGTGGGCAAACGGTCCACCTACAGCTCAAACTCAAGAGGAACGAGTGTTTTTGTCAAAAATTATGTGATGAACGATAGACCACTGATAGGAGATAACGGTGAGCTACCATTTTTCGAATGGAAGAAGTCTCAATAAATTTATTTTGAGCATCAAATAAACTTATATACGGCTACTCAGGCTAAGCTTATTTCAAAACACGATCTATCAGAAACATCGATCGAGAGAATAATTCAATCAAAAAGGATATCTGGAAGTGAATCGTAACCATCTATGTACAGCCGCTTTAATCGAAAACTATTTGCGTGACTTATTATCTCATCTGAACACTACCACTTCACTGTCGACACCAAGGAAACTCTTTTCAGAAAACAGTCAAGGAGAGAAAGCAGGCTTTGCTACAGTGCATATGTATAATCGGGACATGTTCTGACGCTCTTTAAATAGAAAAGACGCACAAAATTTAGGAAAAACAATAAAGATGTGCCCGTTGCAACATCAAGTCAGACGTGCAACTCATCAGGCACAAGACAACAACAACAAATTACCGTAATCTGTGACTTTGTAATTGAACACGCAACAGAAAGGAAATTCTAGTAAACATATGGATCTATCAGCTAAGCAAATCTATCACATAGCAATGCAGCACGCACTGGCAATAACCCAGGATGAAAGTGAGACAACATACATAATGATTTGCACTGGATAGAAAAGACAAAAGTAACCAAGTATTTCCTTGGTGAGGATAATCAAAGTCAATATTTCGGCATCACAGTTTCTGAGAAGAGATAAAGTTTGACACAAAAAATTGCAAAAGACTTTACAAAAGAAAACAGAGCAGTCAGAGAGTGGTTTTTGGCTGTCCGTAGAGGTTTATAATTCCATCAGTAGATGCAACAGCAATCATGCACCTAAACGATTTCGGATGGAAAAGGTATGATAGAAAAGGAAAACTCGGTGTTACCTAAGCTTGTGCATAGCGACAGCGGATATGGTTGAAGCAGGTTCGCTGTGGCGAATTGTTGACATGGACACACCGCGAATGTCGTACACTTTCACTTCTGATTTGAGCACACAAGCTAGCATCTAGAACGAAAAAAAGATCACGAACTCAAACCATACAACACAGCTTACCTCAGAATTTGAGTGAACAGCGAAGTCTCTCAGACCATCAGCGTCGCATTCTACCGCAACCTCCACAACTGGACCCTGAAATATAAACTTGGCAAGAACGCAGCGGTCAAGATAGTATGACAAAATACGTTACAGGATCCGCTAAAATGGCGTTTTACAGACTATGTATCTATGCGTTCCTTTTATGAAAGAAGGCGTACTTTTATCATGCGTGGTTCCCAAACGCAGACATCACCACCTTCGTCTGCAGCTGCTACGATGGCGTTTCCATTTGCGTCGACTCGGATTGCAACGCCAACAACGCGAGATGATAAGTCGCTGAAGGACATCACTAGTGAATCCTTGCCGGGTACGCGAATGTCATGCACATGCACCACACCGTCGCGGTGGCCTAAAACGTCACATTTGGCTGCTTCAAGCTCAAGAAGGCTGATTACGTACCCGCAGCGATGAGGTCATCGCGGTCAAGTTCACCGGAAAGAGCGCAAATTCCCCCTTTTTTCGCCAAGACTGGGATGTCCTGTGCAGTCTTTTCATAATGGGCGTCCCAGACTCGAATCACACGCACATTTCCTCCGCAGATCAACCTCCCAGTTTCCTGGCTCCAGCTATAAGCAACTCGTTGGAGAAAACTTCATTAAATTCGAAATATATACTCGTAAAGAGTTGATGGTGCTCCTTGTTCAGGGATAGGCAATCTGGACTGATCACATAAAGGATTGGAGGCAGTGACAAGCTGTGGAAGTCCTTCTATTTCATGCGAATGGATATTGAAGGAAGGGTCCCAAACCTGCAAAAGCACATAGTGGTTACGCTGCACCACTCATTCCCGCAAAGCTAACCCTCACAATCCCAGCAGATGAGCCACACAGGAGCATTTCTCGAGACAGTTCATTGATGACAATCAGAGAAGATGTCTTATCCTAAATTGCCGAAAATGAATTATGTAATGTTTCAACAAATTAGGTGCTACCGTGTTGAAGGGGTTATCTCCATTGCACGAAAACTTCCGCGCAAGACTGGTGTAAGATTTTTCGAATCGCGTTATATAAATTTGCTCTCCATCTGTCGAATAAATGCACTTCCGAAGCATTGAAAGTGAGATGGAGGCAGCACATCTGGGTATACGGGTAAAGACTAGCTGGGCGTCACAGCTTGTTGTCTAAAAAACACCATTAGGAACATCAAGAGAAAAGAAAGAATCTGAATACCCTAAAGTGTTCAAATTCGTGATATGCTTGCTGACGCTGTCCCTGCTCCACGAAAATAGCCCAGTCAGTAGGATTTACCAAAGTAAGTGCACGATCCGTGAAATCTTCAACCTCCTCCTTACACTGTAAATGGCATATACAAGGACTGAGGTATGACCAGCCAAGACTTACATAGATAAGATCCAATATTGGCTGAACAAAGATACGGCTACACCACGGCACGAACTCAGTTGTTAGCAAAGGTTCAGCGGTGCTTGTGAGCACACCCTTCGAGAATTCACCTCGAGCTGTCTGGAAAATTTCTCAGGCTCTAAATGAATGAACCATTGACACACTACCTCAAGCCGTTTGCAACGTTTTAATGTGCTAAAAAATAGAACGATTCGAAGACGCAAACTATAAGAAAACTTCGGAAAACAACCAAAAATAATTCAGAATTGTAACAGGATCTTATCCAGATCAAAAAAATGCAAGCATTCCGTTGACAGATGTTGCGCTCCCTACACCGAAAAAACTTATTGGTGTAGCCTATTATCAGATCGTTTTATACGAGAAACTGCCTGATGTAAGCAGATCTTTATCACGTTCGCTAAAGATTTGCTCGACACAATAGTAGATACCGTCAAATACTGGAAACCGATGCAAACTGAGCTGCAGGACAGAGTGTAACGACCGACTACAAGAAATTCTTATGAAAAAAGAGAAGAGATATACTTACAGTTCCCCTTTTCGGAGTGAATGACTGCTTCAAGAGATCCGTGAGCTGTGACGTTCGTGGCTCCAAGCCTACAATGATGAATAGTTTACATATGGATGGATACATGAAACTAATTTACCTCTGGATGCAGCAGGAAACTGTGATGGCATAGACAATTTCCTCTGATGAGTTGATTGCTGACGGCTTTGATTGGACGTAAAAGGTTTCGCTGTTGAAGAAGAAGAATTCAGCGTTCCATTTGATGGCTGAGCAAACTCATTATCGCCCGGGGAATGAGCAGCACTGTGAGCATGATTTGCTTCGGGGAAAAGCAGAGCCATTCCTGTCGCTATGGGACTGCCAATCATAAATCTTACACCACCTGGAAATCATAAAAATCACGTTCAATATCGAAGTCCAGAATCAAAGTTCAAACTTCAACCTCGATTTGCATCACCAGCTTCATTATTGGAGGCGTCTGCTTCCGCTCCAGAAAATGAATCTCTATGTACATGCGATGATGAATCAACTTTAGCCATCTGAACTCGTCAAAATCTGAGGCTCTGTATCGACGACCTGACGAACTTACATTAGCAAAACTGGAAACACTCTCAATTTTTTCAGTCATTGCGGAAGCACTATTCTGCAGATCAACAGCTGTCATTTCAACTCTGCGTACAAGCTTCTGGGCCATGCGTGCTACCTAAGAAAATTCGACATGTAGTAAGTATTGCGTGTAAAATGTACAATACTATTCGGTTAGTCATACCTTCTCCACAGGATCTAGAGCCAGTTTCAATAATGCGACCCATGTTCTCTCCAAGGGCTCTTTAAAATTCTTACTTTCCAAATAAGCAAGCTGCTTGTTAGCGCGCAACCTGAACAGATTTCTTTATAATTGTGAATATTGTGTACGAGGAAATCACCTGAATGAAACGTCGCTCTCGGAAGGACCTGCGTAAGTTGATACAACGGAAAGCACTTGACTGATAGAAGAAGTAAGCGATTTTTTAGCAGGGTCGTTCATCGTGACAACCTAGATTTGATATCATAGTTTGAGTCACAACTCCGCAGTAGAGACTGCTGCACAAAATTTACAATCATACCTCTTCTATGCCCATGATGGACTCGGACGTTCTTTGTCGTCCCCTATATACTGATGACTTCCTAAGGATTGAGCTGAAAGAGTAAATCTTGTTGATCTATCTATGAATTTTTTGCAAGAACACATACGTTTGTAGAGGTGAGCGGCCACTGGTGTCGTCATTACTTAGAGTAGCAGCTACATCAATAACATTGTGTTCAAACTGATCTTCGGGAACATCGGCGATTAATTCGATTCCTAACGTTTCTGCCAAATCCCAAAGAAGTTTTGCAAAGCGCTGCTCGAAGTCAATTATGTACCACTAAATGTAAGCTTTGAACAGGATATGAATTACTGATTAAATGTATCCTCCCACCTGCAAAGCTATCAAAAGCTCTTCTCGCACAAGAACGGATCCGTCTTTAGTACATTTGTTGCACAGATCATCACAGATTTCTTGATCGATCTTTATGCAACAAGTCATAAACTAGTAACGGACATCAAAAGAGGACCACTCACTGTTGATGCATGTTCGTTGGTTTCCGAGCGATTTTTGACAAGACATCCAAGGGCATAAACAGCTGCGGCACGTACTTCCGGCGCGTTATCGTCCAGCTCTTTCAGGACCTGTAGAACACAAGAAATGTCCAGGAGGGTCCATGAAAAATTTACAAATGCACAAGATCGTGTTGTGCAGCCTAAATGCATCGTGTTACTGATATTTCATTCCGATACTTCTTCCTTGTTATCGCGGAGACATGGCGGCTTACATCTGCTGCTTTTAATGATAAGAGATTCCGAAAAACACTGCTAGAGAATAAAGTTACAAGTTTAGCAGCGATATGACGTTCACAATGCTCCGCCCTCGAGCAGTCACTGCTTCATGCCAGCGGGAGTATTATGCGAGCACGAATCTATGACGTTCGGATTTGGAAGGTTTCTGCGATATCCATTACTTTCCATGCTCTCAGTGTCTGCAGGGGGGTTTAATTAGGATTGAAGGGATACAAGTGGACCGCCAGATAACGCGAATCCCAACTAATTTTCCCGCAGATCTTGAAAATCGCCAAATCGTGTTGGGTGACGTGAAGCACACTTCCTATTGAAGAACAGATTATTGCAGAAAGGATAGTAGGATCTAGTAACGAGGGCTGACTGTTTAGGTCAATGTAAAAAAAAGGAATTCCCTGCCAGACTCATTATGACTTAGGCCCGAATGCACTAACATCCCTGCGGCGAGGGGAGCGACGTCCCCAATGATGTAAAAGTCGTAGCGGCGTCCGCACGCGACCCCTTCATAATGGGGGATGCCGCTCCCCTCGCCGCAGGGATGTTAGTGCATACGGCCCTTAGATTATTTGCAACCGTTTCCTAATGCTTAAACCTGAAAAACTTTGTTCGGCATCTTTGCAGGTACGAGTTCACAACAATTAAAAATTACAATGGATGTACCTTAGCGTACGCGACGAGTCGTACTGCTTGCCAACGAGCAGGATCATAGTCGGCCCATAGTCGGCCTAGCCCGATCAGTATCCAGAGTTTCAAAAGGCGGCAATCTTTGGCTTGATTCTCGCTTAGCAGTTCTGTGCACAAATTGACGTAACCCTTCTTAGTCAGGTTCTCCTGCGCGATCCTTAACCAATGAAGTTCACGGAATTCTGTCACATTATCACAGCTCACCTGTAATTGTTATGAAATAGCGTAGCCAGTACAAAAGCGACGACAATCTTTTGTCGAGGAGAAGTATCAGGATCATTCAAAATGGTGACGAAGAAGTGATATCTAGAATTAGTCTTCTTGCTTTTCGGAATGCAGTGGGTTACGGTAATTATGTTTGTTTGTGCTATAGTTAACTGCAAAACACTGATCGTGCGCTGATTTTAGTCGCTTAAACAAAGACCATAGAGCATTTCGAGACTTTGACATCTTACTGAATACTCACCGAAGCTGAACGGGCTTCGAGCGAGCTGAGGATTCCAATCGCGCTGGTTCGTCACCATTCTCCTTGAACAACTCCGACTGGACACTGGGATCGACAGCTAAGATCTAAGAAGAAACAATAGTACAAGACAATGAATCTAAACCCGAACAATGAACTTAGAAAGGTATTCAACAATGTGCTTTCTTTGAAGATCGAAACTGAATGCGTTCTACGCAGTTCCCAGTTTATGCGCTGATGTTCAACTACATTTATGTACAGAATCGAACATACCTTCGCCCAAATGAATGCAAGCCATGACCGCAACTCTCTAGAAGTGCTCTGCAACAGCTTCAGCACATAAGGAAAGATACCCACAGACAGAGAGTAACCAACAGCCCATTGACCGAGGTCCAAAAAACGAGCAAGCAACTCGAGAGCTCTCTGACGATGAGCCTACAATATGATATGACCGGTGTATCGGGAACGACAGCGTGAACGCACTTGACTCAAAAGGACTTGCAGAACTATGGGAAGTTGCTCCGGAGATGACTGCTTATTGACACCGTATTCAAGCCACACCTCAACATTGAAAAAAATCAAACCTACTACTAATACGATAAAGATGTATTTGCGACTTCATTCTCGGTGTGAAACGGTATGCGATAAAATTTACGGTCAGCTCAAATCGCACGCAATCGAATAACTGTACTGATTCCCATGACTTACTTCAAAAGCTTTCAACTGTTCAATAAAAAACCAATTATGTTGTACATCCTGCTCACCAGCCACACCGGACAGATCGATCAATGCTAGAAAAAATTCATGCAATAGTGATATACTACATTGTTATAGAAGAAACTCACTATTCAAAGAGCAGACAGAACTTTTCGCCAACAGATCTCTTCCGATAACTTGGAAATTGAGCTTAGGCGTGAGCAAATTCTGGATATGATTAAGAGTCAAATCTAGAGTATAGTCCCAAGAGTCCCACAAAGGATGATCAGCTGTGCTAGGTAGAGATGGAGAGGAGACAACATCTTAAAAGACTAACTGTGAAAATGATAAAGGATTAAAAATATAGGGTTAAAAACAGCGTACTGCAGCCATTTGCACTCATCACACGCTCAGCAAGGAGGAAGCTGCGAAAGAGTGAAGCTAACAGCAAGTCCTAAAGCAGTTCATGCTCACAAAGAAACATATAGATTCGAAAGTTACCTGTCTAAAAAGGCGCTGAAAATCATCTCTTGGCAAAGCATTCCAAGCGATTGTGTCTGTGATGGCTGTGAATATCCAGTTCAACTCTCCCAAAACCGTACGGCGATCATTCAGTTGACCCGGTATTTCCTCCAGCAGATTAGGAGGAAACTGATTCTTTCTACCACTTTTAATGAGATACCTGAAATCTCACTCTGCTAGACAGCACAGAGATGAAGAAGATTTCGAGTCACCATAAGATGCTAGCATGTATTGGAGTAGTTAAGCACGATGTAAACAGGTCCGCAGGGAGTTCAGCATTCGTTGGTAAACGTTCATCTTCACGGCAAGCAGCTAAGTGTATGCATTCCTGAAAAAAGGAATTACGATGTTGTGACTGGGATAAAGAAGTACTGTACCCGAAACTTCGGTCGTCTTTGGAACTTGAGAGATTCAGCCTGTTGATCAGGTGTCATGTGCGAATTTAAACGAGCACCCGACATTGAAGTTGCTGCTACTGCCTCTTGATGCGCTAGAAGCTTCTTATGCCAATCTCTGCAAAGAATGCCATTCACTGTTTGAAAGCACGATCAACGTCAACCTACTCTTCGTGGTCTTTGGCGAATCGCATAAACCAATTCACAATCGTCTCCGCTGATGAGCAATCCCACACATAGATGGAAGGGAATTCCATACACAATTGCAAATCATACAGCGACAAAGGGATGTACTAAAGTCAAACTCAGTGCAGTTAGTCTAAAATTTCACCAAACCTGCGTAAAATTCTTGTTGAAGACCCAAATTTCACCATTTTGGGTGGGTCTTGGTACACCATGACCGTTATAGTGGAAAAGTACACGTTCGTCCTTAGCATTTCGCCTCATACTCATACAAATTTTGCGCACATCATCGCCCGTCGGGTCAATTACCGATTTATACCTGCAGGTTAAGCTCACAACCATTGAAAAAAAAAGTTAAAAAGTGAAAGAACACACAAAAGAAAGTTTACATAGACAGAGTAGATTGATTGCATACCTTGCTCGCGGTTGCCAACGTTCATAACTCTTCTGCAAGGACGTCGCAATCTTGTACGCGGCTTTTTGTGGACTGCAGCTGTACGGATCGACCCAAGCTTCTAGCCTTGCGCGCGCCGACGGCTTCGGCACAGAATCCGGCGGATCTACTCCTACAGTAGAAATAGTTCCAACTCGTATTCTTAAAAACGGTCACACCTAAAACGAAAGGCAAAAATGGGTATAAAAGCAAAAGTGACTTGTCTACACACCTATGTGCAGGCATAGAACAAGCGCTACTGAAACTGTCTTCATCCGCTCTTTGCTGTATTTTCTCCTACAATACATCAAAATACCAAAATTTGCTCCCTAGGGTGATAAGCAAGTGCTTACCAGATGTCTCTCTCCTCACCGTCTTCTTTTATTCCGAGGATATCTTCTACGTGCCGAGATTCTTGGAAATACCGGGTTATCAACTTATCGGTCTTCTAAAATGAAGGATTCATTCGAGCGCCCAAGGCTTCAATATCAAATACCTACCCCGAGTATTTCCATCTCGCTATGAACTTTCGACCTCATTATGGATAATGAATGGAAAAAATGAACTGAAAAGAGAGTGATATCTGAACTATATGTAAAGCTCATGTAAAAGATGACAAAAATAAATGCAGTTTAGACAGACGGACAAAATTTATACACGAACAGAAATCAAAAAACATGTGCGTAGGAGAGAGTGACTCGTGACGGTGGCAGAGTTGAACGCGATAGGAGCGCGTAATTGCAGCACGAAAAAAACGAGACACGCAATGTAGAAGCTAAGCTGCGAGCTTATAATAATAAACTTCGAAGTTGTAGCTAGCTGGAGTAAATACATCAAGAAAGTGCGTTGAAAGCCGAGGAACTTGATCATAAAATGAAAACGAATTGCCTACTTGTCATCCACAAAGCCGGCACTGCAAAAGACCCACAAGTGCTGGGAATGAAAGTCTTAGGTTGGTGCAAAAGTAATGCCCGTTTTCCGAGTTCTCAGTTTGATGTGCTATCTTTCTAGCAAATCTACATTTTTCAACGCGATAAAGACATTCAGAGGCAGCAAACCGTTCCCAATACAGCGCACATCCCCCTATACTCATATCACCAACGGGCAGAAAAATATGGATTGACAAGCAAAAAACTTTTTTTTTCTGAAACCTCGTTTTTGACTGGTCATAACGCCCTTCAAAATTATCAGTGTAAATGATGAATAGCCTACCTTGTAGCCGGAAGGTAACAGTACAAATAAAGATGGAACGGGCTTGAACGAAAAAGGTTTGCAAAAAGAAAAAATTATAAAGCAAAATTGTCACCTTTTTTCGACATTTTTCATAGTATCCAAAGTCCCAAATTATGGAATTTTCTAATTTTCTGCGTAGTGAACTGCTAAACATTTTTGCGAAGAACTGTCAAAAGGAGGCCCTACCCCAAGGTACACAGCTAACTTGATCTTCCTCTATGTTCTATGTTGAGCATAAGGAGATGTTCTGAAAGGGAATACAATCGAGAAAGACGAGTTCGATACATTATTGTTCCCAGACTAGTGATAGAAGGCGAGCAATCAAAAATTTTTGTATTTGCCGACTATTTTCGAAAATACAACATGCTGAGTTTGAATGTGATGGAAAAGCATTATGACTCGAAACGCGGTTAAAAAACTCCCTTTCTTCTCATCAAAGCAGCACTGAAGCGACAGTCGAAAACTCCAGAATGCGTCAGAACCGGGATACCAAGGTTCTTTCTGATGAAAGAACGTAACTCAGACAGAAAGCAACTACCACTGCATTCTTGAATTCGAAGTATTAGACTGGCTAAAAATAAGTCCATTCGTTTTCAATAGTTTGTAGATGTGTAGGACCGATTTATGCAAGACTGCGCGGTTCCAATGAGAAGCGGAACTTAAGAGGAATAGATGCTTCAAGCTTCGTTCGTTAGAAGAAATCTTTTCTCGTGACGAAATGCTGCATAAGAAAAATAGTCAAATCATTAAATTATCGAAAAATAGTGCTCCAACGGACTGAAGCTAGGTGTGAAATGTACATTTGGTACCCACATACCAGAACTTCAAATTTCCAATCATTTACATGGCCACAGATAAAATGCAAGTGATCTCGTTTGTCCAAAAACTGACTCAAGAGCGCAAATGCGCAAATGCCTGAAAATTCTCACAATTTTGGTTGCAAAAATTCGGAAACGGAAGACCACAATCTCAATTGTGCTTCGTCGAAATCGTGATTATAAAGTGATTTTTCAGGAGGCTAGCCATATAAGGAAATAAATGTCACTTGTTGTTGACGAAAATTTTCAAAAAAGCGAAATGTGAAAGCAGTTTTATAGCTAACTGTTCGCAAAGATGGCAAAAAAGCTGTTACGAGTTGTCAAAGTTTCGAAGTTGCTTGTCGCAACGAATTTATTTCTTCAACATAATAGCTGGTGCTGATTGTAAGCAGGTGATCGAACTGGCATGCACCAGCCGTAGTAAACATATACTTCCTCATCAAGTTTGTCCCACGTCTCTACTTAATTTGCTTCTTTTACAAAAATGCACAGTGTTTAACAAGTAAACAAAATAGTATGAGAATTTTTCTCCGCAGCTGAGTATAAAGATTATCGAGATCTGATGTAAGCATATCTAAGCCGTGGTAGCCCATCCAATTCTGCCCAGGAAAATTCCGATACTGTTTCGCTGACGAAATCAATCATGTATCCTGAAATGGTAACATAGTCTGTGGCCAACGCATTATCTATATGGCAGTCCTTCTTTGTACTGTGGTCATCATGTTGTTCCAGAATGTACCCAGTCATTCCAGGCAAGGATTGAGTGTGAACACAAATAAATATTTTTGTACTCATAGAAACTACTAGTATAAAGACGACAGTATCTGGGCTGGCAAATAGCATCTTTGTAGAAAATGACTGTAGAATTTTACGACACAATGCGAAATCAACAGTGTAGTTCGTAAATTACAATGCGAAATAAGCTCCCACTTTGACGCATCCTTTACAAAGACACTACTTTTCGCTATGTCCCTGAGAAAACGGCATTTCGACATTTTTGAAGACTCCAATTATGAAGCTGTTATGTACACCACATTTCACATGCATACAATTGCTATAGGGCGACGTACACCAACAGCCTTGTATTAGCTTACCGATCGGACAGGATATGGGCTCGATTAGTGTATGTACGGCTAACAGTGTGAATGTGGAACTTAGAAACACGCTAAACCTAAAGAACTCCCAAGTTCAATGCGCCCGACTACATTAAAGAAACCGATCCCCACCCCTTCTCCGGATATTCCAGACAGTACAGACTTACTCCATAAAAAAGATAAAATCCATCAATTTCAACATTGACCATCTAGGACATGACTACTGGAATAAATCAGTAAACCACTCCACAGCTTTGTCAACATGAGCTTTACGGTGATTTCAGAGGGGCTTTCCTCCACTCTCAGAATGATCGAAAGTTATGAAATGCAAACAGATGTTACATCATGTACATTGTGAATCGCAATCATGAGAGGCTGCTCATACAGTAAACTTCCGTACTATTCCTTCGGATGATGTCATACCGTAAACTCAAGTCTAACAATTTATCAAAAACAACAAAAATTATCAACAATTTCACTCGGCAGGAATCTCAATTTCGCCATTGGCGATTTGCTCGATGATGTCATGAGGATGCTGGCCGTCAATGGTACATCCAACCGACTGCGCGGTACCTGAACGTGAATAATGAGATTGACTTGACTGCAATTCGAAACTGTGCTTACCAAGGATCTCTTTAACGGTTCCTTCCAACTTCCTAGCCATAGATCGCGGCCTCATGATCCTTGCAATCTTGATGATCGAGTCCAGTGTGAGGTCGCCATTGTGTTTCACTAAAATAGAAAATCAAAGACGCGAACAATCACTCCTCTGCCAAGGAAGGAACTCACAAAAAACAACACCCCAGGGCGTTACCAGTCTATGCAAAAACAAGAGACTGGGGGATGAGAGCATATGGACTCTCGACCCTCGGCCAAAGGTGCGTACCGTTCTTAACCTTCTTGCGATCACGTGGAGGCTCCTTGAGTTCCTTTACGAGCAATGAAGCTGCCGATGGAACGACGTCGATTTTTGCAACACGATTCTGGATGGTGAGCTTGCATGTGACTTTGAGTCCCTTCCAATCCTGCGTGGCTTTAGCGATGTCATCACCGACCTTCTTCGGGGAAAGACCCAGAGGTCCGACTTTAGGGGCAAGGGCTGAAGTAGCTCCTACTTCCCCACCCACACATCGCAGATAGACTGAAAAAAAAAGCCAGTTAGGAATTCCTTCTTCCAAAACGACACCTTGATTTGCAGCTATCTGCTCCTCATTCGCAAACTCACCAATCTTGATTTCGGTAGGGTCGAACTTGGGCGGCATGATAAGAGGAGTTCCCGACCAACAACGGCAGAACTTGAAATGGAAACAGAGTTCGCGATTTGCCGAGTAACGAAATCGCGCAAAATGAAAGCTGCGTATCACTGCACGTAGGAGTCGACGCGCTTCAGTGAAAGAGCGCGCATTTAAAAGCACGAAAACACAGTTACAGTATCCATAAAGTTTGAAAAGCGAATTCAATGCTGAGGGATAACTGAAAGGATACTTTATTCAAGCTTTTTCTCAAAGTTCCGTAGTGGCTTGTACAGGTTCGGTTTCATATTTGACTGGCCATTGTTTTCAAACTTGTCATTTATACATTTTCTTGCATCCAGTAAGCTACTTGATTTCATTTTCTAAAGAGCAATTTCCATGAAGTTTATCAGTTTATTGGTACGCACATATCTGTAAAAGCCTGCTTACACATCTGGAAGTTGATGAATTTCACTTTATACCGATATTCCGAATTTATTTATTTATTTATTTATTCTATACGCTCAATGGCGTTCCATACAATAAAACAAAAAGCAATTATACATATTCTAACCGCAATGATCGTGCATCATGTAGTTTGGGTCTAGTCTTGATAAAAGTGTGATGAAAGCTTGTATTTGACTGCTTCATGATTATAGTTATCAGGATTGAGTAATGTGATCCATGGAGATGTACCCATGCCCCTTTTGCCAGCAAAATGCTTTTGTTTTTTCAAGCAAACAAGGCTTGATGGTCGATACTGACCTCATCAAACCAGTAAATCAGGGAGAGCAGTGACTCCAAGTGAATTACAATAAAGGCTGTAATAATGAATAACTCATACATGAGCGCAAAGATCAAGTTAAATTATTGTAATCTATGGAGATGGCAATCATGCCAACTAATTTGCCAGCAGAAGCTCTTGCAATAATGAAGCAAAGCGGGGCTAGGTTGGTGAAGTAATACTAATCAACCTTGCCCAAATGATTCCGGGGAGAGTCCAATGGCTCCGGAAGAATATCAAATGTTTCACTTTTTGTAATTCAACTTGAATTGTTGCGGTACACTGCATATGTGCATTAGAGTTTGCTTTCTGATTCTGTACTCTTTTTTTTTGAATTGCTCTCATGGATTCTTTTTAATCGAATCTGACCTTTCTTCCATTTAACCACTCCTATCATTCCTTTTGATTCGTACGTATAATTTTAGTGTTAGTCTCGAAATTAGGACCGCTAAGCTCAAAATCATCTAAGCTTGTTAGCTAATTTTCTGTTCCTTTCAGGATTGCTCGTGTAAACGTCTAATCTGGGACTTCATGGGAGAACCAAGCGGCGATGGTTCAAGACTGGATAATGAAGTTGTATGTCATTCGTTTTACACTGTTGACTACCTCAACTTTGAGTATGTTAAATTATTCGAAAATGTCCTCTTTACAATATCCATTATTATAATCTTATTGTTAGTAAATAGCTCTCTGCACTTTTTTGTCATTATTTTCTGGAAGTCTTATCGAATAGTGCCAAACTTCGCTTCAACTTGAGGGGAATCGAGAATTAAGCATTATCATTCTTCATCGTGAGTCAGAAAAATAGTATGCAGCAGTTCTGCAAAAATCACTTCGGGCTTTTTTTCTTTCCCTTCTTTTTCTTCTTTTTCTCATTGCTTAGATCCAGTATCTTTGAAATGTGTTTTCATGAGGAAAATGCTCTGAAGTCTCTTGAAGTAGGCTCATTTCTCAACATTGAACATAATGCAGAGGAAAATTCCAAAATAGCAGTGTATCCCTTCTATAATTCGCAGCAAAGAAACTTTCGAAGAGATCAAGTAATATACTGTTTCAATGAGTTCTATCCGTGCTACGTGCAAGCATGAAAGCGGTACTATTATCATTTCTTACGGCTCAAGGAGGAGTGTGTGGCATCAACGTTAAGATAGCTGAAGCTACTATTTTTTTCCAGGTGTATGAACGAGTTGTACTCAGTGAAGACGGGGAACCAATTTATCTGGAAGACGATGAGTTTGGAGAGGTCTATCGAGAAGAAGAGTACGTGCAACTTGAAGATGGAACCTTTGTTCAAGCTGACCAGCACGCAATAGTTCCACAGGTTGTATTTCGATCAGAAATCATCAGTATTCTCAACAATCGCAGCTTTACGAGGGATTAGAATAGAGCTTCCTGGTTGATATAGCAGGAAGCCTATTTCCAACAGTACGCTTTGCCAGATCGTGAACGCTGTATCGGTTGCCGCCTGTGCTCACGCAGTACGAGATCCTGAACCACTCAAACAAACGAAATCACTCGCGTTTCTCAAAAGGCTTCAAATCTAGCGATTGATATAAGAAGGACCTTCAGGAGATAACATTGTTTGAAGAAGTTCAGTTTGCGTCTTGTGTGAGAAATGACAGCAAATTCCAACCTTCACGAGCAAGCACAACCCCTATAGCAATAGGGGCGGTGGAAGAGGGGGGGGGGGGAGTTTTGGAAATATTCTCTGAAGGATGGGCGTGGCGTTATCCACGCCTTTTTGAAGTTTGTTTTAGGATGCTTAAATTGGGCGGATTGTACTCATGCATTTGTACTTACGCCTCCTACGTTCGTCTACAACTATTGCTTGATTTCTGTTAAAAGTGAAAATAATCCATTTCCACATTTTGTGAGTCATACAATTTCCGAAAGTTTCGCGATATTCTTCAAGAGGGTGGGGAGGGGGGAGGATTGGGGAGGACTGACCTTATTGAAACTCAATGGTGATGCTTGCTACCCTTGTAACAATTACGAAACTCAAATTTTCAATGCCCATTCTCATGATCATGAAAGGCACTGATTCTACGCAAGGAACTCTCTGTGTGCACACAGAGGACGAAAAGTGACGTTTCAAACATACCGATCAAACAGTTTCAACTTGCAGATGACTCTAAGCAGTTTAAACATGAACAGTTTGCGTATGCAAAATTCAAATAGTTTCCAATATACAAGATTTAGTGGACAAAAATAACCATTATGTTTAGATTATTGTATGTTATTGGATCATGTAAGCTTAATTCCAGCGCATACGCTAATAAGTTTGATTATCTTATCCAGAGAAACCGCACTAATCAGTTACAAGGATTATGTCGCGAGATTAGATTCATTGCAGAAAAACAATTCACTGTCGAATCTCGCTTAAAGCACAAATCAAAAGGCATTGAATCAGCAAGTTTTCCTTACATAGAAGTAAGATCTGTAGCTTTCCATTGCTGCCGGGCATTTTCTGTGTCATTCGAAATAGCAAAGCTCATTAAGCATAACATATTAGATAATCGTGATATGACCAAAATCCTCTTCCGCCTCAAACTTTACTACACAATACACAATTTTCATCTTAGAAATAATTCAAATCATGTTCACTTCGCACCATATTCCCCACAGGTCTTCAAAAACTTCTACTGTACTTCTTCTACTGTACTATAGACTCCCTCTATACTCGGTCTCCGATGTTCTTCTAGGAATTTTTCTATTGTAAGATTTTGCGAAGAATAGATGAAGTGAGATACGCGGACGTCGCTGGTGTCACGCACTTAAAATTCGTTTTTAATAAAGCTAATTCGTTTTTTTTTTCAAAATCCATGAAATTCCATTATCTACCCTGTTAAGAGTTTGGGTTAACTTTATTGTGGAAGGTTTTGATAGCTAAGAAGTAGAGAATTTAGAACATGAGAATGTGCTTGGAAATGAAGCTTCACTTATGTTAAAAGAGCAAGTTTGTGGAATGACGAGTTTTTTTTGCAGACTTCATCTTCCTCCATGCCACAGAGATTGCAGCAACTAAGAGTGGGACCAGATGTGCGACGAGGAACTTCAAGTTCCGCGTCTCGCTTCTCCGAGCAACATGGTGGACATCGACAGCAGAATTTTGATGTAGGTATCATTCGTTCTATGACTGAAAGACCCAATCGCTTTGCCCCTAATGTCTAAACAAGTTTGACCTTTTTAACTTTTTTATGCAGCAAATAATACTAGATTAGATGAATGACAAGTATCAAATTTGTTAACCAAAAATCAAGCTTGTCTTGACCTTGTGTAGAGTGGCGGTTCTTACAAGGGAAGCTACCTAACTTAGCTCGGCCTTTTGGCAAGGGACTGTATAGTCAGAATTAGCTTCGAACGCTGATTCCAAATATGCTATTGCTGCCGTGCACCATTCCGAAGCGAGTTAGGGCTTATTCTTGAGCAAAATCGGCATGCTCATCAACTCACGGGCAACACGTCATCATCATTTAAGTGCTGATACACTTGCGTTAACACATTGACGACCGAAGCCTTTCGCGGACCAGCCAACATTTTTCAAATAAAATCACACACAATATCATCTACAGTACACCTACAGTAGCGCTGGAAAGTTGACAAAAACAGTAGAGGTTGTACCTAAATCCAGCATGAGAGGAGACTCCCGGAGTTGGTTTGACACATTTTAGTAGCCATTTCAATGAGAGTCATGGTGACACAGTCATGGTGAGCCTTGACACACCATGTGTGTCAAATGGTCGTCAGTGTGTTAAGCTTTTTTTTAGTGAGAAAAGAATGGATTTGTACTATTTCGATAGCTCAGCACCTTTTTCTTGCAAATTTTATCTACAGGCAGTCTTTTCATGTTTAGTAGTAAGCCAATTTTGCGTAGGAAAAAGTGCGTTGCAGCTAGGAATAGCATATTTAAAATCAGCGTTTGAAGCTGATTCAGAATATATATGCCTTTTACTAAAAGGCCGAGCTGTAGGTAGCTTTCCTTATTAGCCCCTTAGTTACAGAATGAATGATGTGTTATCATCCGCTTGTTAGATTCAGGCAGCTCAAGGTAACATTCGCTCAGAATTTTGCATTATATTGTGGTCTGTAAGGAACGTAGTAGCGCATGTACCGTTTCGGTTAAATAATGTAGCTCTAAAAGTCAACTTCGTCCCAAATTTGCTGGAGTTAACATGTTAATACGATCGAAAGACAACCTCATTGATGGCTCACATGGGAACAGTTTCGGGGGATGCATGATAAGTCGCAGTCGTCGGCGTTTTTCTATGCAGAGTCTTCAAGAGAGGGTTTCTAGTTCAAAACATTTTGCACTTCATATCTGGAACCCAGGTCATCAAGGTGCGAGTAAAAAAACATGAGAGAAGAATTTGGGTGAACTTTGCTCTCGAAATGAATGATTCACCCTATAGTCATCGTTCAGATTGCCTACACAGGAATTCCAAAGGCTACTACTGTTTCTGATCACTTCAATATCGGCGTTAGTTTAGCTATCATTTTTCTAGTTTATATTACGGAAGCCTGCATTACTTCAGCGTCGTCAGCAGCCACTGGACTTGACTGAAAAATCCAGCATCATTGGCTTCTCTCAGACTAGCTCCAACACGTCAAAATCATATCCAATCACTTCTGCTTCTACGGTCTATCACCCATTTGCTCATACATATAATGTTCCGAAGCAAAAGAAGTATGGTTCAATACTGATTTTAATCTGCCGTCAACATTTTTTTTTTGAGGAAGCCATTGCCGGGACAAAGAAAGCCGTGTAATTGCACAAAATCAATGTGTTTGAAACTATATTGCGATTGTTTTGCAAATGGAGAGTTTTGTTTGGATTGCAACTGTAAAGACTGTCATAACAATCTGGAACATGATGCTGATCGCTCAAAAGCCATAAAGCAGTCACTGGAAAGGAATCCAAATGCTTTCAAGCCGAAAATAGGTAATTAACTTATAAGTTGATTTCTGTCTTTCATTTCATTTTCGAGATCATTGTTCTCAACAAATTCATTGGTGGATTGGTTAGTAACACTCATATAGTCGTTTAGGTGTAAAAAGTGGCAAGTTGGATGCAGAAAGACTCCATCAAAAAGGGTGTCATTGCAAAAAGAGCGGATGTCTCAAAAATTACTGCGAATGTTTTGAGGTAATTCAGATTCCTTCCGAGATAGATATGCCTCACAGCTCTTACTTATAGGCAAAAGTCCCCTGCACAAGCCGTTGCAAATGTCAGGGTTGCCAAAATACTGAGGGGGACCGCGCAAATAGACATGATAGGTAGGTTCCTAAATCGTAGATTTTTTGGCAGTTCGATATAGCGCGGATACTTCTGTATTTTCAAGGATGAGTACCACCAGCTCAGCTTTGATGAATTTGGCACATTCCTCATCATCAGTCACCACAGAATCTCCATCTCCACTATCGGACAATGACTCCGATACAGAATCATCACTTCGAAACGATCCAAGATCGTAAGTTCAGCCCACCCTGCTGTTACTGTTTCTTTGTTTTTCGTTATATCCTTCTATTTGGCTGAATAAACATAAACATAAGTCTAACGGACGATTGACCTAAGGTAGTGGTAGGGATCCGGGCAGGGATAGCGCCGAGCAAAAGCAGCCGCGATCAGCACGAAACCGATTGCAGCCTGAGCGCGATTGCTTTCTGCGATTTCCTCCTTGATTTGGATCGGAAGCCTACGACACACCTAAAAATTGCGGAATTTTTCGGCTCATTTGATGAGAAGATTCAGGTACCCATGGTTCTACATGACGGACGAAGTTATTGAAGCTGCAACCTTGTGTCTTGTTGCGCAGGCTGAAGAATCGGTAAGCAGATGCTTCTTTCCACCATCCTATTAATGGGACTTTGTTTCAGCTGTCAGGATGTTCAACCGATGCACCAGATAATGTTGTTGAAGAAATGGAACGTATGGTTTTGGGAGAGTTTGGAAGATGTTTGCAAGAAATCATATCAAATGCTTCTGAATCATAATAAAGGCCGTGTATTCTTGTTTACCATTTTCCTGAAAATCGTAGACGTCCATGCATATCTTAATACTTCGATATTTTGTGGGGTTACTCGTTACAGTCAACAACACGCTCACTTACACAATTTGCGATTGTTTGTGTTTTCTAGGAATATAGGAAAGTACACAAACTCCGGTCCTAGGTATATTCGGCCTTTCTTAACCGAAGAAAGACTGCACAAGTAACATAGAGTTGCCAGTCTCTGGCACCGCTCAATGCATCATCAGCTCCGGTCTAGAGTGGCGTCACAACTGCCTGCGATTCATCTAAAAACACTCACAGCATGCTAATAACCGATCTAGCGATGTTTCACACAATAAGCTTTTTGTGGTGAACCCTGGTAGAAGACCTTCACTTCGATAAGAGTTCGCCTGAGCCGACGTTTGCTTTCAGGCATATGTTGTGGGCTCCAAATTCATCAAGTTCAGAACAAAACGCGGCATCACTAAATGAGGTGATATGTCATTTCTCGCGTAGCCAGACCAAACACAGAAAAATCTTGCTTCTACGGCACTACGATTGACGGGCTAATTACCATATAATGGCGCCGTTTTTTTTACTGTAAGAAGAGGACGGCACTCACTTTTGGACCCTTCTGAGCACGTTTGGCACGCCCCAAACTGAGTCCTCTTCCTTCACTTCGTCATTGGTCAAAACAGTGAACTGACCCAAAGTGGACATCTGCTTCGCTACTGGTCAGTCCACTGATTTGACCAATAACGAAGTGGATCGAGTGGATCAGCCGAATTAAGCGAATCAAGTAAGGCGCGTCTAAGGCCTCAGTTCACGCGATTTCATCGCCGCAATTCTCCCAACAAGACAAAAGGTTAAGAGTCTATTGCTTGCCGAGCATCTTGCATTTCGGTTGTAATAGTTCTCCAACACGACCAATCGTAACTAACTATCTCAGTCGAAATGCAAGATGATCGACATGCAGGACTCGCAACTCTTTGCCTTGTTGGAGGGATCGCGGCGATGAAATCGCGTGAACTCAGGTCTATAGATCTATATACAGTCTTTTTCAACCCGAAGTAGGCGAAACATCCCAAGTGAAGCAGCGCGTTCGCACCGCCGCTGGCTCAGCGAGCTAGATCAGAATGAAGAGACGCAAACTGCATAGCGGCGTGAATCCTGGCGAAGCGAATTCTTGCCAATCCAGTTTTCGCCTAAACTGTTTTGAAACTTACTGTAGCTCTATAAGGTAGGTGCCAGACTAAGCGAATATTTTTCAGTTGCAAAAGGCGCACAGAATTAACGTTAATTCTGCGCGGGCCTGCAGCTGAAGCAGGCCTTAGCAGCAGCAGACATTATGCAACAGACATTAATTCTGCGCGCCTTTTGCAGCTGAACAAAATAGTCGCTGAGTCTGGCGCCTACCATAACCTTTATAATTTCCTCACTTTTCAATTCCGTAGTTGCACCATCGCGCTCCAAAGCGGCCTACCGTTCATGTCACGTGACTTTTTCAAGTAATCTAGATCTGGGAGGCATTTATGAGAGAAGGGCCACGATTCCTACCATATTGTTTGACTGTGCCTGTATCGTTATGTCGATGGGGGCATAATTTGTTTGTCCCTTTTAGCATAATCCAAAAGACTTGAAAACGCAACAAACGGAGGAGCTATGGAGAGAGCTTTCGAACTTGCAGAGGAAGCGCTGAATGATAATGAAGTTCCAGTCGGATGTGTATTTATGTATCAGGGGAAGGAGGTATGGTCGAATTTCTCTTTTTGTGAGCTCATCTTTCTCATTTCCCAACGGGTGAACCCGGCTCCTTCTGTAGCTGTTTTTATCAATTCTATCTGCGCAATCATGCTCAGCTAAAGGCGAAAAGGCGCCATAAGATCCTACCATTTCTAATGTATCGAACTTTTGTGACCTTCTATGCATACCTTTTAGATTGGATCTGGAAGAAATGAAATTAACAAAACAAAAGACCCGACTGCTCATGCAGAGATGGTTGCACTGCGAAGAATGCAGGAAGAGCATCCCAACATCAGAGAGGTGATGTTTTTTTTAAACAACAAAAAGATGTTTGTCTAACTAATGAAAAGGTTCAGATTCTTCACGAGTTGGTTCTTTACGTGACGTTGGAACCTTGTATCATGTGTGCTTGTGGATTGTATGAGTTAGGTACGTCACAAATTCTCTTTAGTTTCTTTCTAGTTTTGGAGTGATTAATTGCGTTTTGCGGTTATCCCTTTTACGTTTCACTGACTTCATAAGAACCTCAAATGGCCTTACTACTTATAAAAGACATTCAACCAAAGACAACTTCTGCATCAGTTGTTGTAGCGAAGGCCAGAATTTCCAATGGAACTCTTCAGCTTTGTTTGATCTTTACCTTCTTCAGAGCCTAGATAGTCCGGAGATCGTACCTGATGTATCTTTGCTTTCATAGGTGGAGGAGGCAGAGACGCGAAGCGTGAGCGGGTTAAATCTTGGTCGTCGCTAGAACAACCACCTAGATTACCTGAGTCATGCCAAGATTCGTAAATGATCGGACTTGGATGAAAAAAAAAACTTCTCAATGTTATATCTACTTAATCTATCATTTTTTCCATGCCTTTAGTATTTGGTCAGCATATGCACATATATACTTATCAAGCTTTCGGGCATTAAATTCGAGCAAGTACTTTGCTTCCTTGAAAATATTGAATGGGGAGCGCCACACCATTGGATGGAGAAAAAGCTCTACAAGACCATATTGGGTATGAGCATCTTCAATGAATCTTTCAAACATAGACTGAAAATCTAAAAACATAGGATTTTGCTCTTCTGCAGATCACCCACTTCCTTAAAGTTTATGACACTCACACATGCTCAGTTCATAGCGGACACTTACTCACTTACATACATGCAAAGTTTATGTGAAATGTGCGCTTCATTAGCAAGAAAAACGAGTGGCAAACTCCGCCCCTATTGACTCTAAGCCCTTCCCACTTGCTTCAACATCATCAGCTACATTATGCGAGAGTGCAACTTTTAATTTTCGCGTTCGTAGATGAATTACACCATGAGAAACAGCAATTTTAGTTTCTAAATGTCCGAGGACTTTCTTACCAAACTAACAGTTTCTTGTGGTAACTTTGTCTCTTGCACTACTCTTGAAATGAAGTTTCCTGAAAGAGGTTTGTTGGCTTCGTACATCCTTGATCTCCTGCAAGTCATTCCCTTATCTTCAGACGAAAAATTCCTGCTTTGGTCCCTTTTTGTGAGAGTTGCCTATATCACCTGAGAGCTCTTTCCTTCTTATCTTCTACGTGTACTCTCTTTTTCGTGGAGTTCTGCTCAATCCGCGGATCCGTACCATAAAAAGACAATAAAGCGAATGTGGATCTTTTTTTTTGTTCTGCCTCCATCATCTCCACAGAAATTAAAATTTTTAGAAAACAGTCATCTTAGTGAAGACTTTTGCTTTACAATGATATGATTTGGAAGAATATTTGAACCTGAAAATTTTCAGGTGTATATCAAAAGGCGCGATTATCGCTAGATGGACACCATTTAGCGCGTTCTTTGTGTTTAATAACGGTCTAAAGAACTTTTACATTGCTAGGGAGGTATGATAGGTCGTGTCAGCTGTCAACTGTTTAACCTTATATTTCAACTTTAACTTATATCGTAGGTTCAAAACGTGAACGTCGGAAGTCAAAAACCGCAAAAATGCAACTAATCCCAATTTCGTGAATATCTCGGTTGATTTTCTAGCAAAAGTTGTCTAACTTTTATTTCTATTTCTATTAGCAAATGGTAACTTTGGATAGTGAGTAAGCTAGAGCACTTTGTCTGGTATTTTTGAAGAGTCGCACAGCTCTAAACTGAGCTGTTGTATCGGTGACCTCCGGAGAAGTCCCGCCTCTTGACCGTCTCCCAAATTTTCGGCATAAACATTGTCGTTGCAGTCATTATAAGTCGCAAAATACCTGTAAGCGCAATGCGATTATGAAACTTTCGCTTTATAACTTGGACTACATTCTGCATTGGAGTCTGGAAATTTTTCCAGAGAAAGCGATTCTAGAAGATAATTTTGTATCTCACAAGATTTTTTCGTAAAAAAAGTTCAGATTCTGAGGTAGCGTTGCAGCTCAGCTGACTATTGGCTACGAGCAGAGTTTGTGTCATCCTGCCATACTCCACTAGCTTGTCGTACCTCAAAATTAGGCTTTCAAAATGTCTGGGATTTTTGATCCGAAGTTTTTTTGTAGTTGCTGCAATGATGTTTGGATATGTTTAGAAATTCGAAGGATGTATTGATTGCAGCGCAGTTGGTTGCATTGGCAGTGATTAGTTCTGAAAGAGTTATGATGAATCGGAGATGAACTCAAAAAACTAGGTAGTAGAACTGACACATACCAGTGTTTATGCTCTCATCCTCTTCTTGCATGGATCGGTGTCTCTTCCTTCTTTTCGACTTTAGCTTGGATTAGGGAATCCTGATCTTTAATAATATCTCGGCTATAACGGTCGTCTGTTAAATTTCAAAAATTTCAAAAGTCCTTTGTTTTGTCGCATATGTGAAGATCAAATGTTCCTTATGAATGATTCTCAGTAGCTTATGAGTTTATTTTTTTAAATTCATATCAAGAACACTGAACATTGAATTTCCGTGCAGAGGGTTTTAGACAAACCTGCATAGGAGCGTTCCTTTGAACATTGAGCTTATCATCTGCCAGGTGCTTCTGATTGTTACGGTTACCAGTGTTCAGGGATTTCCAAAATCGTCTATGCTGCTGCTAATGAGCGTTTCGGAGGGATCAAAAGCGTGGGGAATCACCGGAAGTATAATATGGAAACTACAAGCGTAGAAGCGGTAATGATATAAAGAGGGGGTCTTGAGCCTCTAATAAATCTAGGTCTTTTCCAGGTTATGGATACCACACATGAGAAACGTTCTATAGCATTGCTTAAGGCATTCTATGATAGGCAAAACCCATTTGCCCCCGAGGAAAAACGGAAAGTCAAAAAACCTAAACAAGGGAACTCCAGCAGCAGTGTGTAGTTTGGACTTTGATAAAGTATTCAATCTTGTGTTACTTATGGATCCGAGTGGCTGAATGGAATTTTCTGCCAAAATTATCCTTTTATTTGGTAAAAATGCATGTTCCCACTCAAAATATTCAGATGACACTCTCCCGGCTATTTCGGTTTGCACTGATGCGGTTGCCGCAGACAACATCAAAGACTGAACATTTGCTAAAATCACCGCGCCCAATTGTTGTGGCTTCTAGAGCAGCTCATGTAAGTGGTGCACACGTCTTTCATTTGTGAAATTCTGAGTCTATAGAACCCTATCTCCGGTCGAAATCGAAATCGTGATGTCATGTATTATGTAGTAAGCCTGGGTGTGGTTGCTATCGGTGTGACATTCGCAGCAATACCGGCGTACAGGATATTCTGCGAAAAAACCTCTTTTGGTGGATTAACGCAGGTGCTTTTATCTTTGTTTGTGACTTTATTCAGGTTCAAATTAGTTCTAGGTCGCCAAGGACTTCGAAAAGATCGCCAAAATGAAGAAGGTCGAGGATAGGTTGATTCGCGTGCAGTTCAATTCGGATGTCCCGTCAAGTATGCGTTGGGAATTCAAACCGCAACAGCATGAGGTTTGCCTAACACTCACTTCTTACGTAGGGCTCTTGCCAGTCGTATATTTCGGCAGATGCATGCGACATCCTCACTCTACTTATGATTAGTTCCTATCTGCAAAATCGTTTCCCGACCTTGACAACAGCATAATTCTGGGCTGTGTGTGGTGGAATTTGTTTTGCCACTCAGCTATCCAAACAGTCAGTGTCTACGAAGTACACTGCGCGCTAAATCTGTAGCCGCTTTCACGAGTCCGGTTTGCAAAGAAGTTTGTTTTGCTTTTTTTTGCGCATTTTCCAATATTGCCAATATACGCCGTAAAGAAAGAGCCGTCATAACAGCGGGTGTTGCTATCTTCTTTTCATACAGATTCTGCAAATCAAAGTTCGCTTACATATCAAAAGGATTTTGATCTCTTCTTCATAGCTGTGTGCTTGAGTAAACGAAATGAACATCTGCTTATAGCTTATGTCCTTAACAATCACATCGCTTCCAGATGTATGTGCATCCTGGCGAGACTGCATTGGCCTTTTATACCGCTAGGAATCCGACTGATCGACCAATCGTTGGCATCTCCAGCTACAATTTGACACCGTTCCAGGCCGCTTACTATTTCAACAAAATCCAATGTTTTTGCTTTGAGGAGCAAATACTTAATCCTGGAGAACAGGTAATTCCTGGCTTTTTTACTTTGAAAATAGGCAAAATGTGTAGATGATAAATATGTTGGAATGAATTCGTTAACGATATTTTGTGGACGACGTGGTTATTACCATCATCTGCACAGCACAGGCGGTTGATTGTACTACTAGTAGTGGTAATTTAGGTCGATCTGCCCGTTTTCTTCTACATAGATCCTGATTACGCTAACGATCCTGCTTTGGAATACTTGGATAACATACTACTGAGCTATACATTCTTTGAAGCAAAATCGGATCTACAGTTACCAAGCCCCTTTGATCCCAGTAACCGGCCAAGTGTGAGCACTTCATTTTTATACACCCTGACTGACTAACAACAGCTCTTTATTTTATTGTTTGTTTACTTTCCCATTTAGGATGCTCTGTTTCAGTCACTGTCATCTAATACGCCGTGAAATGACTAGTGAGCAAGAATTCTGCGCTCCAGTATCGTCTTACACCACTTATGCATATACTATCAAAAACTATGACATCTTTCAAGCTATTATAAGTTACATACGATATTCACTCGAACTAGCGAGCGCTTTGTGATGGCTATTCTCAAACATTTTTGTAGTTGTAAGTTCCTTTGATATCAGAGTTGAAAAGCATAGTTTGAAAGATGAGTCAGTTTGTTAGTACATGCGTAAATGGTGTAAGACGATATTGGAACTCGGAGTTCCTGCTCTCTAGTCATTCCGTGGCGTATTATATGCAAGTGACTGAAATAGAGAATCCTAAGTTGGAGAAATTGTAATCAAACAATAAAATCAGGAGTTTTTGACAAGACATTCTCTGGCAATTTACTGTCCTGCCTTCATCTGACTGATTGTTTTCGCTACTGTTTACCACGTGTTATCTGACCAAGTTTCACTTCTAGGTGCCTCTTGAAAAGCCGTCGCAGTCTGCGTCAAGCTAGCGATGATGGCAGACTTGGAGCTGGTCTCCTGGTCTCCTTAGATATCTTAGTTGATTTGTGCCATATTTGATCGCAGATTTATTTGCTACTCAACAGTTTTGTTATTGTTATTAACCAAGTGACAATGAATGGTTCTTTATCATTCCATCATTTTTGTTTACCATATGATATCGTAAACCACTGAATATATTCTATCAATGAGTCTGCTTTCGTGATGCATTTACCACTCATAACTATCATCAGGACTTGGATTGAAGCCAAATTATGGCGAAGAAGGCACTAAAGAAAGCCGCAACGGACGAAAAGTCTAGTAATCACGTTTTGCACCCAACTATGGTGGAAAAGCGATCAAAGAGAGCCGCAACAGAACAGCTCAGTAATACTTTGGGGCGAACCATGGTGAGAAAAACAAAGGGAGCTGCAGAAAATGAACAGGTTAATGGCTATTTTCCAATGCAAATCGCTGGAATTTCCGACTTGCAGAGCAATGGTAGGACTTGTGGAAAGGAACCTGAGCGCAAAGTCAAAAATGAAAAGAAGCCCAGCAATGGCTTTGCCAAGTCTGTAAACAGGTATCTATCATAACTACACGTTCCTTATCTCCCATGACATCTTTTACCAATTGAAATTGGAGTAAGGCTGTGCTTTGACGTGCTGCCGTTTATACTCGTTCACACTTCCCCACGCTAAACAGTAGCTTAGGGAGCCAGTTTACATCTTCGTGAAGATCTAAGCTCACTTTTGCAATAGGCACTAACAAGGGAAAGCTGGAGCTGGGTCTTTAATCTGCACATGAACTCTTATCCTTTCCAAGCTTTCTTTACACTACAATACATTAGCAAAAGGTGACTTCAGACACGATATGCCCTTGCATACCATATCTCTATAGCTTGATGAGGGGAATGGACGAAGAGGTCATGGCTGAAATGAAGAATAGCAGTAATAATACGTATGCAGTTTTGCGTGAACGGGGGAATCTTCTACGATATGGGGACAAAATGGTGTGAATGGTGTGCTCATTTACGCTGCGACAATGTACCAAATACTATATGTTCTTACACTCATGTTATTCTCCGACTTTTGAGCGGAAACGTCTACTGACATGCAATTCAGTGATTGTCAGAATTAGCGTAGTAATAGACGAGTCCCGCTGCCTTAATAGTTGCGAGCCTTTGGGATCTAAGAAAAGTCGTCACTGGTTCTGAAAAAATTTTCAGTTTTTTCTTCTATACAAGTATCGCTTGCTCACGGACGGCGGCCTGCATCTGTGGAGCGGCTCGGTTTTGGTAGCGAGAGATTACTATTACAATGTGCATGGATAGAGGAAGATGCTGTTTATATTGACCTTAACATCCTGCGTCCTAGTTCGCAACGGGTCCGCTAGGCACACGTTATATGCTTGATTTGATCCGCTTGATCCATTTCATCCACATCGCTATTGGTCAGTCCACTGGATTGACCAGTGACGAAGCAGAGTAACCATTTCGCGAGGCACAGTGGTGCGGCCGAGCAGCTTGCTTGAGAAAAAAAAGAAGAAAAAGGCGAATCTTGCACTCGATACTTAAAGGTAGCTGGATAGCATATCAATTTATGATTGCAGTTTGCAGCCTTTTATTTTCGAGTAGGAGATGTTGGCAGGCATAAAATTAAGTTTTTCAGCTCTTCTGCTAATGTAGCTGGGGGTGATATCCGAGGTGTGCATATTCCTCAGCATGTCCACGACTTTTTTGCCCACGCTAAACGCTTGTCTGGTGACAACCCTTTGTGTGAGTATCATTTAAATCTTTCTGGAATTGTAATAATCGATTTTTTGCAGGTGCCTTCGAAAAGCTTGTTGCAGCTCGTTTGGTTGGTCTTTTCGAATTATTGGGAAATGGTCTCACTGCACTCGACGGTATTCTCTTTTCGATTGCAGTAAAAGTGCTTAACAAAATTGGATGTTAAGATAATCAATTACGCCTGCACTATCGTTATGCTACTGACTTACCAGAAATGCAAACTGTCATCGTAACCGATGCTGGCAGATACTGTTTATGGAGGTATTAATTGAGATAATTTGTTCTTGATCTTTTATTAAAGTTTCAGAGATGTGCCGAACAGCGAAGATAGCTGGATTATTTACGTGTCCGATGACGACAGATTTCCCAAAATTGAGGTGCTGTATTGACCATGTAAATGACGCAGCATCAATAAGTTGTTTACAGTTGGTAGGCAATCGCATGGAGCACGCACTGGTCCATCTTGGCGACAAAGTGAAGACGGATGTCAAGGAATTTCTACCAAAGTCTATGAATGCGACAAAACTAAGAGAGGATATGAAGTCTGTGTGTGCGCTTCGCCACAAAAAAAAGGTTCGATCACATTTGCATAAATTTGTTTTAGCATATCTTTGATTATTATTACGGGAGTTGATATCCAGCTTCTACATTCTTTCATGTATCTGTTATTTTACTCGTTGCTTGCTTAGTTTACTCATATCCTAGAATAAGTAGGATTTGTGTCGCAAAGATCTTAGAGGTGCAAAGCAACGAATAATGTAACAACCAATACATCTTCATGCTTTTTTATTCGTAAGATTCCGTACCATATTTTTTACAGCTGGGAAAGGCACCAAATGCAGTTGGGTTGTGGGTTGAGGTTACCAACGACGTCGGATACCGACCTTTACCAGACACTCCCGGTGAGATGTTTTTTCTTTCATCTGTCTGAGTTAATTCAATAGATCGAGTTAAGAGAAGCTGAGGGAAACACTTGATCTTATCTGCGAGACTGATAATGCTTCATTGCGACAGAGGAGGATGCAGCGGGTGATGGAAATTGTCACATTTGTCCAGGTTTGTTGTGAGAGTCACAGTGAAGATGTGTTTTGCTCATCAATTCGTTTCAATCCTCTGTGCCTGTTAGCTGCTGCCTGCCGAAACAGATCGCTAAATAACTTCAAACTGGTTCTTTTGCCTGCCATCATAGACAATCTTCAGCAGGGACGCGTTAGGGAAACTGAAGTTGTTTGCGCTTATAATTTTGTGACTCCGATCTTTCTAGCTTGGAAATGATGAATGCGACTTTGGAATGGGTTTGGAGCTCGGTTACTGGTTGTTTCTCGCCAACCATGAGACGCTGGATAAACTGACACATCGTATTCTTTCCACAGCTTACACATTGCTCAAAAGAGACGAATACAAAACGATCCTTGACGCTCAGATGGCACCAGGAATGCGAAGAAGAAGCGATGTTGATATGCGCAGAGCTAACCAGTGACGCTAACGCTATCTATTTTCACCGATCTCTTGTATATCTATGCGCTTGTATTAAGTAATTGAGAATTTATATGTAACTAGATGGCAAACCCGGCTCCGCCCGCTTTGATTGTTACTTTCATAATACCTCTGTACAGAATGCTGATAAATTTTGACTGAGTTCAAGCATATGCTGCACAACATGTGAAAAGTCATATATCTTATTGTCAGAGACATTACTTTTGGTGTGTGTATTTTTCTTAGCCAAACCTTGAACCGGTAACAAAATTTACAGTCAGGATAAGAGGCTGTCATCATTATCAGACCATCAGTAGTTTTCTTCGAATCGAGTGGAGCCGTAGCAGCACAGATTTTCATTGTGTGTCAGTATCAGAGCAGCTGTGTGCAGCAGCTTCTATTGTGATGTAGCACAAGCGATCACGAAATGACAGATATCAAGGTATGGTCTAGCATCAGTTGCTTCTATATTTTACCTTTTTTTGCAAAACTACCGAGATAACCTCGCAAAACTACCGACCTGAGCTGCAAAGCATCTGAGTTTTCCATCCGGAAGAAGTTTCTATCGCTTTTTACAGATGTGCCTGAAAAGTACATTGAACATGCTTATTAATTCTATAGCTAAATGATAGGCACATTTAATTTAACCTTTGAGCACACTCGAAAAGCTATGATGCTGTGAAATGCGTGTTGGACACTTTGAATGGTTGAATTAATTTACATCAAAACATCTGCGTTCAGATCGTACCGCTTGGGGCTGGCCAAGATGTTGGTCGGTCATGTATTTTGGTCACCATAGGAGGAAAGAACGTTATGCTTGATTGTGGTATGCACATGGGCTATCAAGATGAGCGTCGATTTCCAGATTTCTCGTAAGCACTAATTTAGTATCACTGTTTTCATCCTAGCTCTCTGTTTACAGTTACATCGGTGGCGGAGGAAAGCTGAACGATTACTTGACATGCGTAATCGTCTCTCACTTCCACCTGGATCACTGTGGTTCCTTACCACATATGAGCGAAATTGTTGGTTTTGATGGGCCTATCTATATGACTTACCCAACGAAAGCTATAGCTCCAGTTTTGTTGGTAAGAGCCTTTTTGCAATGTATTTAGATAAGTTGCTAAGTTCGTATCGTTGCAGGAAGATTACCGCAAGGTGCAGACAGAGTTCAGAGGAGACACCAATTTCTTTACATCCGCCAACATAAAGGCCTGCATGAAAAAGGTAGTATAGCTTTCACTGCCTTGTGCAATTAAATCTGCAGAAAAATGGCTTTTCGGTAGCTCTATGGAACCATCGGACTAATTTCCAGATTGATCTTGCCGATGTTTAGGTTATTGCTGTTAACCTCCATGAAACCATACAGGTTGACAGTGAGTTGTCAATCCGGGCGTTCTATGCTGGACATGTACTAGGTGCAGCAATGTTTGAGATTCGCGTTGGTCACCAGAGTATATTGTATACAGGTAAGTGATATATATATATATATAGGCTTTAAAAATATATTCTGCTTCTTATAAGGTGACTACAATATGACTCCCGATCGTCATCTCGGTGCTGCCAGAGTGCTGCCCGGATTGCGGCCAGATTGTTTGATTTCTGAGTCCACTTACGCTACCACAATTCGTGACTCAAAAAGAGCCCGAGAAAGGGATTTTCTAAGGAAAGTGCATGATAGAGTGATGGCAGGAGGAAAGGTAATACTGTTTGTTAGCTACCGTCATTCATCAGTTACTACGAAACCTTTGCAGGTTCTTATTCCAGTTTTCGCGTTAGGACGTGCTCAAGAAATGTGTATCCTTCTTGAATCCTACTGGGAAAGGATGGACCTCAAAATACCTATTTATTTTTCTCAGGGTCTAGCAGAACGAGCGAATCAGGTATATTTTATGAGGATAACGGCGGTCCGTGAAATTTCCTTTGGAGGAAGAAGGGAGGGATGACTTTACGGGATGCCTTTTGAAATTTTCACGGACCACTTGAAATCCCCAGAAGAGGACGTGAATGGCAACCACGCCTGCGGAAAAATTCTTTGTATCAAGCCAAATTGATATCAAGTAATTGAAAAAATGTTTGTACAGTACTACCGCTTGTTCATAAACTGGACCAACGAAAAGATCAAACGGACGTTCGTTGAGAGGAATATGTTTGACTTCAAGCACATCAAGCCGTTGGATAAAGGCTATGAGGAAATGCCGGGAGCTATGGTGCTGTTCTCAACTCCAGGTCTGTCTCCCGGTCTATATTTTTAGGCCTATATCATTGGTATTCAGGTATGTTACATGGTGGACAATCCCTGAAAGTGTTTCGTAAATGGTGTCATGATCCCAGAAATATGATAATCATGCCAGGTGCGGATAGTACTATTGTTATTTACCCAGCAAAGACAGTCGTTCGTTTAGGTTATTGCGTAGCGGGTACTGTGGGAGCAAAAGTAATAGGGGGGATGAAGAAGATTGAAATCGAAGGAAAAATGGTGGGTCGTGACGGCTTTGATTTACAAATTCTATCCTTGAGCTCATTTTTAGCACGACATAAATCTAGCTGTGGAATACATGTCATTTAGCGCACATGCTGATGCTAAGGGAATCATGCAGGTAACTTGCTTATGAGCTGGGAGATTTTGTGTAAAAAAGTTATTCAGCTGATAAGAGATTGTCAACCCCGCTGTGTGATGTTCGTTCATGGAGAAGCTGCAAAGATGGAGTTTCTTAAGGGAAAAGTTGAGAAGGTCAGTTGTTCAAACCTAGTTTTGTGGATTAGGTACGGATAGTACAGTGCTGGCCAAAATTATAGGTCCACCCTAAAAAATGCCATAACTCACTCTGTTGCGAATGAAATTTTCCAAAATTTGGTAGAGTCGTGTGTTTACCAGCCCACTATCAGTCTCCAAAACGGTTCTCGTTCGTTTGATTATTCAAGAAAAAATCAGAAATTTTGAAAAAAGCAGGCTTGAAGGCTGGCCAAAATTATAGGTCCACCTGGAGTTTTTACTGATTAAAGCACTTCCTAGCTCCCGAATTTTTCTAGGTAGGCACACATCCAAAAACGTTAAACAGCTGTATTGGTCAAGCTGTGTCATACCTTCAAAAAGAACTGATTATCTGCTTTTTTGCCTTGAAGATGCACTCACATGTATTTCGCTCCACAAACCTGCGTTGAGTAAGAAATTCTGCAGTTTCTCAGCTGGATCGGAGGGAAAGAGGTTTCACCTATCTTCTGGATGCTTTTTGACATGAGCATTGAGGAAAAAATTCGACTTTTTGTTGGAAGCAAATCTGACATCGGCTTAATCGGCAGAGTAAGCCTCAGTTTCTGCCCTAAAACTCTTTATGCATTGTCATTATAACCTCAAGATATTGTAGAAGCATTTTTTGCACAAGAATAAAGCTGTTCGCCATACTCGCAAGTGTCCACAAAGCTGCCTTGCTTCTTTTCCGAAACATGAGTTGTGTGTGCAACGTAATAATGGTGTTACGCGATCCAAAAAAGCTTTCCAAGTGCTACCTCACTTAGATTTTTGACAGTAATTATTTACTAGGTAGTGGATACAGCTTGTAGTGTGTGTTAGCACATGATTCTTCTGAAAACTTTGGTCGGAGCCACAAATAGCTTTGATGCTTGTCGTAATGAGTTTCTGAGGGTGATTTCAGCAATTAAACTCGAATGCTAGGATCTCTAGAAAGTTGTAACCATGGAATGTGGGCTTCCCTTCGTAGAAACAATGCCTTTACTTTACATAGTGCTTCTGAGAACATTGTAAAAGAAGTTTGAAGGCAGAAATTTGAGCTCAGAATTGCAGTACTGTCAATGTCAGATTTGCTTCAGCAGCAAAAAGTCGGATTTTTTCCTCAATGCTCACGTCAAAAAGCATCCAGAAGATAGGTGAAACCCCTTCCCTTCCGATCCAGCTGAGAAACTGCAGAATTTCTTACTCAACGCAGGTTTGTGGAGCGAAATACATGTGAGTGCATCTTCAAGGCAAAAAAAGCAGATAATCAGTTCTTTTTGGAGGTATGACACAACTGCAATGCAGCTGTTTAACGTTTTTGGATGTGTGCCTACCTAGAAAAATTCGGGAGCTAGGAAGTGCTTTAATCAGTAAAAACTCCAGGTGGACCTATAATTTTGGCCAGCCTTCAAGCCTGTTTTTAAAAATTTTTAATTTTTTCTTGAATAATCGAACGAAAACGAGGACCGTTTTGGAGACTGATAGTAGGCTGGAAAACACACGTATCTACCAAATTTTGGAAAATTTCATTCACAACAGAGTGAGTTATGGCATTTTTTAGAGTGGACCTATAATTTTGGCCAGCACTGTATTAGTAAATTTAACACCAAAAACTGCTTAGTATCGCTTTCGTAGTTTTAGTTTATCGTGATTGTTTTGAGGTTTATTGTTCATCAGTTCTAATAATAGTTCATACTAGTTTTAATAGCAGGTTAAAACTTATTAATAGAACTTTATACCTGGAGCTAATGTAATATACGTAATGAAATCCGGATTTCAGGAGTTCCATGTACCTGTCTTGATGCCAGCTAATGGAGAGTCTGTAGTGATCCCAGGAATTGCAACACTGGAGGTTGACGTCCCTCATGATATCGTACAAAGATGCATTGACCTCGATCCAACTCCTTCGAAGAAAGCGTGCCCATTTTCTGCCTGTTTGATTATGGATAAGCAGGTGCTCCTAGACTATTAATCTCTTCTACATCAAAATGGTATTTACAGAATGGTCTCGAAGTGATTTCTTGCGAGGCAGCTGCTAATAAATTACAAATGGGTCTTCATACTATCACTCTGTCGCAGCTGATAAAATCACGTAATCCGGTCGATTGGAGAGCCCTCTCCGAGGCTCTGACAATCCATGACAGCAATCTTCAGCATAAGCAAGTATGCGTTTACATGTCGATAGTTTCGAACGTGGCTATCCAGTTTTCAGGACGGAATAGAGCTCTTCCATGGTGAAATATGCGTTTTACCAGTAAAAGGAGACGAAAATCAGGTAAGTTTTGTTGTTCGGTATATCAAGAATTTGTTTACCCAAAGTTCTTTCAACTTTACCGTTGCTAATTGGCCCAGCGCAATAGGACTACCTCGTACGCCGGAATTGGTAAAACTGCTGTAGAGCTTATCTACTGCCCACGATCCAAAATCATTTCATAAAATTCTATTGCTCACATTGGTTCAGAGCTCTGATTTTCGAACTACAAAACAAAGTTTCAATAGGCGCATAAACTAATGACTTGAACTTAGGCCTCAAGTAAATTTGGTTTCTTCTATTCATTTTTTCACTGTCCTTTAGCAAAAAGCTGCAATTTAGGTGGAGCTGATCTGGGATGAGTGCCGAGAAGCCTGGCAATCAGTGATCATGCAGACTATACAAGAAACGCTCAGCAAGCAGCCTGTAGGCATAACATGAGTTCTTTTCACTGCGATATGCATCTTTAATGATCGTCAGTCATGTACATGTGAAATCTCATACTCGCTGTGATAATAAATTATTGAGGCGTTCTGATTTTGTTGGTATGTCATTGGTTCCAACCAGTATTTTCTACGCTAACCGTTTACTGCCTCACATAAAGACAACTTGTGCTATTATATTCTGTCCTTCACTTGTGAGTAATCAAACATTTTCCTCTCCTCAGCTCATCGATTACGTTCCATGTTTTGTATCGACTTCACAAAATTTCTTTTTCCATCGCTGTCAAAGTTTCCCACTTTGTAGCTTAGCGATTTCTCTTGTGTTATGACACCTCTGACACGTTCTTGAGATTTACTTCATACTGTTAGCCAAGATCTTTTTGTTCGCAGTTGCGAATGTAGGATGTCCTAGAAAATGTGCCTGTTGTTTTGATAGCTGATAACTTCAATGTCATGAAATCTTTGGGGAAGTTTACAAGTTCACAGCTTTTAGGTACGTTTCCATAGAACTGGCTTCAACTTAATTTTGCAATTTGGAACGAATTTCCTCTTCTTCATTGTAGGATTACGGTAGGAACCTCTAGGATACAGCGCCATTTTGAAATAAGCCTTTAATTTAAAAATTTCAAAAAATCTGGAGATTTGTGTAGCAGGGTTTTCGCGCATGCTGATTCGTTACACAACTTTCTACAAGATTTTTGAGTTTTAGTGGTGTAGTCACTTTTTCAAAGAACATTTGGAAAAACAATTGTTACGGTTTATTTGTAATAAGTTTTGGGATGATCATGACTGTAATAAGCAAACTTCATATTTGTAATCAGCGACTTCGATTAGCCTGGTATAAAAGTTTTTTGATTTGCACGGTTTTTTCACTTGAACAAAATGTAACTCCTAATGGTTCAAACCTGTTCAAGCTTTCTACCGTAATCCTTCGGTAGGATTGAGTGATTGGTGATTCGCTCTATACATCAAATCTGTGTTTGAGCCAGCTCAAATTCAAAGCTCTTCCAAAGAGTTTATGACAAGATAGTAATCAGGAATCAAAAAATAGGCACATTTTTTGTTTTTGGAACACCTGTATGTGTGATTTGTGGGTACTGGTTGCATTGAACATATTTGTTTGTCCCGAAAGTTTTCTCGGTTATTCTAAATAGCTATAAAACCTCTTAAAATAAAGTATCAAATGCGGTTCAATGTGCATCCGATGCAGCTTTCTTTCTCTTTCTGATAATCACATTTTCAAATCATAATCTCTGGAAACTCTCGATAACTGCCAAAATTCTCTACGCGTCATTTTTATCTGCTAAAGTTCAGCTAATTTTTGATTTATTCCACAGCTTGAGAAAGTAACAGCTTTGAGCGAATAGAGCAAACGGGCTGTACTCAAGTGCTTCTAGATTCTTTTGGTCTTTGCAGCTTTGTAAAATTATTTATTGGGAGGTCCCCATTTTCGGTCAAGTGTTGAAGCGCAGCTGCAGCGGAAACATGACAGCTTTCGCGAATTAAAGCTCGATTGCTATCAAGAATCATTTACGCACGATAAACAAGTTTGATTTGGTTCCTCAGACAATGGATCGGACCCCTCCGCTGGGGAAATGGCAGGGTCGCGGCGTTTCCCCAGCGGTGGGTCACCCATTCGTCCGGCGGAGCCCTCCCATTTCTCCGGCGGAGACCTCCCATTTCTGCTCCGGATACCTCCCATTTTCTGCTCCGGAGACCTCCCATCTTCTGCTCCGGATACCCCCCATTTTCTGCTCCGGATACCCCCCATTTTCTGCTCCGGAGGCCTCCCATTTCTGCTCCGGACCCCTCCCATTTTCTCCGGCGCGACTCCGCCAGATTTGACTCGCGCCGGACAAATTTGTCCGGCGCGAGCCTGGCAAATCTGCCAGGGTCGCGCCGGAGAAATGGCGGACCTTTGCAGCAGGGCCGGAGAAGCCTCCCATTTGCCTGGCAGTGATGTCACGCGAGGGACCGCCCATTTGCCCCGCTCTCATTGGTCAATTGGGTCCGGCGCGAGTCTGGCAGTTTCGGCTTGCCCAGCGGAGGGGTCCGATCCATTGTCTGAGTCGAAGAATCAGCTTTGGAATTTTCTGTTTTTCTATGCGCTAAATGTGCTCAAAAACCGGCTATTTTCTTCGAGTAAAGTAATTGATTATCACAGTAACCTGACCTGCATCTCAAGTGAACGTGAAAAATGTAGGCAAAGGTTTACTTTGCAGCTGCCAGTTGATAATCCAATACTGAATTTTGAGAAGCGGGGAAAAATTTGGCGTCGCTGTACTGCTCGAATAGCCAGCGATGAAATGGCAAAGATTATATTAGGTCGGTCAGGAAGTTCTGTCATTCCATTTTCAGATTCTATAACTTCTCACTGTCTGGGCAGACTTGTTTACTGTAACTTAGAGAGAAGAAGCCATCCATTTTTTAATGCTGTCTTAGTGAGTTCTTCCTGAACATTGGTTGCGGAGGTAAATTTGGATGAAGAAGGTATTCAAGCTTCGTTCATTATTAGGCCACCAAAAATCTGAACCGTCGTAGAAAAATCCAGAATTGTCAGTGCATAAATTTTACGAACTACTCTTTCCGACTGTAAAAAGTTTGTGCTGATTAGACGTCTTTATAAAATTATGATTTTTGGAGTTTGCAATCAAAAATGTCGAAATTAGATATTTTGTCATTATTCTCAAAAATTATAAGTTTCTATAGATCCCTCCGATCAGCACAAACTTTTATAGTCGGATAGAGTAGTCCGACGAAATTGATGCAATGATGTCAAAATTTATGTACTGATGTTTCCGGACTTTTCTGCATCGTTTCAGATTCTTGGCGGCCTAATTTAAAATGATCAAAGCTTGAACAATCTTCTTCATACCGTTTATCTCCGTAACCAGTTTTCTGAAGGAAATACCTAAAAAGTGTTGAAAAGTATAAGGCTTTTTCTTTGGAAAAAAAACTACAGCAAAGCAGGTTTGTTCAGATAGCGGAATGTTGCCTTTTCTTGTAAATGAAACTACAGAACTTTTGTACCAACCATGATAGATAGAGAGAATTTGTAACTCTCGAAAGAGAGTGAAAACCTCTGTTAAAACGTATCCGGGCCGTTCATCGACCAGTTTTCTGTGATTTTCGTGACCGAGAAAATTTGACAGAACTTTCGGGACAAGCTGACTCAATGACCGTTTGCCAACAAATTGGTGCAGCACCATGACATGTCAATGGTTTTTCCCGAACTGCACTTTGGAAGCACTGAAACGGGTGATATATATCTGAATAATCAGTGAGTAGAGTTGTACTGAGATCACTTTTGTTATTTCCAATCGTTTGAGGTAAAGACCCAGATGTGAGACTGTTCACGAGGCAAATAACAGTTCTCAATAATGAATTCAGGAGAAATTCCAGAAGTGTTGACTTGTACTTTTGATGTCGACCGTTATCAACTGTCTATGAGCCTTTAATCGCTGTTTTAATCTTGCAATTTTCTTTCATGACATCTTTATAAAGTTTACCTCAAAATTCTTCGCCTTCACTCGCTTCAGATATCGTCTCAACAAATCAAACCTTCTGCTACACAATGGCTGTATACCATTAATGTGGTTTAGTAGACTTTCAGAGAGAAATTTGTTTTTGTTCGAGAAGTCCATTATCACGATCCATCAAATAAATAGATAGCGTGACTCCAGATAAGGACGTCACAAAGTAGACAACACGAACATTTTTTTTCTTTAGAAGGAAGATGGCGCAATAATCTTTTACATTGAAACCACTTCTGTTATAGTGAACAGAAAGCTTCTTCTTCCAAATCTCTCGATGACATACAAAAACTGGACGTTATCATATGATCGTATGGTTCGTGGTGAGATTATCAGTTACATGAGCATCTAGTAGGAAATTGAGCCAAAATATCGCTCTATTTTTGTTCATGTGGCGAAGAAATACTCAACGAAAAGGGAGGGGGGGGGGGTGCCGAGAATGGATCGCGAAATATTGGAAGTGGTTTGCATCAGATAAAAGATTGACTCGTTTTCAATGAATTGTTTTTAAATCAATTTTCAAAAATCTCTGTAGCTCAATTTGTCTTTGTAAATCTTTTTCGGGGGCGTCGCGACCTCCACGATTCCTTTTCTTGAAATTTTGAAGTTACTGCATACAACAATTTCAGGGGGCATCTCAAAAAGTCTATCCTAAATGCGTGGCCTTGGCTGTAAGAAATTTTTGCCGTGTTCTCCCCCTCCTGCCAAAAGTTACATGGACACCTCCATGTTGGTATGGTTTTAAGTTGCGTTTCACCTTACCCTTATTGCGATTTTTGGGTACCTTTTGCTCATTAAAGAAAAAAAAGAGGATGGCTCCGTTTCTTACATCTGATGGGTTCTCACAAGCATTTGGAATTTCAGTTCTAATGAGAGCGAAGATAGTAATATAGTAAGATCCGATGATTATTTCAAAATCGAGCGTTAAGAATATATTTTTTGAGAAAGTTTTGGTTACTCTTTGGATGGCTGAGATAATATGAGTCAAAGAAAGTTGCTTTTGTTATGAATCCGAACAGTTGTAAACCTGATATTCAGATTAGAATGCACGAAAGGCTTACGAAATGCTAAGCTCTAGCAGTAAATTTCTGTGCTACCGCATATCAGCTGCAGAAAATGTTCTCGTTTTATAGATTTTTCAAGCAGATACGGCAGCATGGTTTCGAAATTCTTATGCTTTACACTCGCCAGTTGCAAGTACATACACTATGTGGTTTTGTGACTGAAGCTTTCAAAGAGCTGCGAAGTCAAGATTTAGAGTAGAGTAGTATATTATATTCACAAGTAGCACATGTAAGCTAGCATACATTTATTTCTCGGTCCTTTGACTGTCTTTTTTGTAGATTGAGTCACGATTCATTGTCATAGTTTACTCAGTCGTGCGTCAGACTTACCGTTAGCGTCGTTCATGCCCGTTCATATTTTTCTTCTCTGTCGCTTCTAATGTGACTAAAAATTATTTTGT